TGCAAATATATATATATATATATATATATATATATATATTGTAATTAACAATCAGCTTCGTTATTACGTGCTTGTCTGATAGTTGTCATAGAAAACACAGAGAGCCATGAACACATACTGCTTGTAATATATAGCCTGCCATCGATATATATATAAATATATGCTGTGATATTTTCGCTCATGAATCAATAATGATAGGGATGTATCATATGACACAGAAAATTTGCATGAGCTAGGGTTATTAAGTATCTAGGTATGAGCAATAATGCTCTTTATCCTATTAGCTTTTAACCAATTCATGACCTTTCTATGAAAAAGCAATTCAAAAGAATTCAAAAGAATTTGAATCCCTTTTAAGCAATTCAGATTTCAGATGAGTCAGATGGCCGACTTTGAGGACCTTGAAACAAGCCTGGTTGAGGTTGAAGTTAATTATAACCTGGGCTTCAATTTAAGATCAAAATATCTCTTCCCAACTAATTTCTCTCCTCTTTAATTAGTGAACAAAAAAAGAAAAATGGCATAGTAGAGCAGGAAGGCTGCTTGTCCCTGGGTCAAAAGACAAATTTACTACGCCACCCACTAATTCCAAATTCAACGAAATTAATGTAACCAGACAGGAAGTAAAAGTTAAAATCAATGAAATTAAACAACATGGAAAATTATACGGGTAAGAGCATTCATAATGGGCTCTTTAAATCACATCTTTAGACAAAATTTGGCGAGAAATAAGAAAAATACAACTTCAACCATGCCCTCTATCCACTTTCTAGAGAGTATGATTGGAGTATAGAGAACTCCTAAGATAGCATGCTACATTTTATAGAGAGCTTCTAAGATAGCATTTATATGTTTTTAGCTAAAAAATAGAGAATGTGATTGTAGATACTCTAATACTAGGCATACCACATTGTGTATCACTTCTCTAATAGAAACGGTGCCCACCAATACAATGTGGCATACCTCTATGGTACAAAAATATAATATGCCTAGCATTTTCCAAATTATACTGGCAAATTCTATATTCTTTCTAACAAAAATGAAAATAAAATGACATAAAATAAGTACTGCTCCCTGTTAATTACACATGATGAATAAAGAGTTTCCAACTTGATCATCAAATTTTTGTTTCACATTTTCTGCAAATTAGTCAAAGTGGAGGCAATTGAATATTTTTACAGATTTAATTGAACGTGAACATTACTTATTAGGTAACTTATTACGCAGGAGATGAAGATGACTTTTTTTCTTCTTCAGAAAACAAGAAACTAATAAAAACATTCAAACCCTATGAATGAAGGAAATAGCACATAAAATAAGTAAATGGTTTCAAATTCCAAAACCAATGTGCGCACTGACACTGAGCCTGGTCTGTTTCTTCACTGCACAGCAATCACGCCCTCTCTTTCTCTCTCTCTCGTTCTCACAGACTCTATCAATATTTTGTAAAAGAAGAGGAAAAAAAAGAAAAAAGCGAAATATAAATATAAAAGAGGAAGCACCGCCCTATTCGACCATTAACAGAAATGGCATTGAAAATGAGACCCAATATCAGAGAAACTCTCTCTTCTTTCGACTAATCGAGAACACTGAACGAGGTAGGGCACGTATAGTGTCTCCATCCATCCACCTTTGATTCTCTTCCCCCAAAACCAAAACCAAAACCCCCCCACTGTCTTCAATCCTTTAAAGCTCGCCTCTTTGAGGACTTATAGAGACTATTTTAACCCTTTTTTTGGTTTTTACAGAATACTCCTCAAGAAGAATTGTTGGCAGCGATATTTCAACCTAGGCTTGGATAGCTAAGAGAGCTTACCAACCAACCTCGTTGGCAACATCATATTCTCTTGATTTCCTCCATATTTTGGTTCTTTTGTATACATTATCAATATACACACAACATATACAGTACTTTACAAGAAAGCCATGCACACAACAGATACACCCAAAAATATAATTTTTTTAATGCAAACCCTAAAATATAATTGAAACATGTTATTCTTCATGATCCAATTTTTATCTAATTTATTTTCATATATATATATATATATCAATGTTTTAAAAGGCAAGGTGTAGAGACGAGCCATTTTTAGTCCGCTACGCGAGGCATAAATCCTGAAGCAGTGAGGCATAAGCCTTTTGAACATTGATTTAATTAAATTCAAAAAATTATAAATAATACAATATAAATAAATTGTACTACTAATTCTTATTGAGCCAAAATATTCTATCAAATATAAGTACTAAATGTCACTTAAGCATAATAATTAATACCAAAACATAAAATACTTGTTCAACATCAAAGGAAAAAGTCAATTCATGCATCCCACTCCTCATCACGAAACATCAAATGCTATGATATTTGGCATTTATATGTGGACTTGAGTGTTATTTTTAGTGGGTTTTATGGATAGAGAATTGCATGCCGAAAGAGAGAGAGGCTTCAACTTATGGAGAGAATTAAAATTGATGCAAATTATCACATTAGGGATATACATATATGTCCATTAATGTATTTACTTAGAAGAAAAAATAAAATTTAAAAACACCCAAAATGTGCGTTTAAAACACCTCAGTTTGAAAAAAAAAACACATAAGTAACTAGATGAAACGACGTTGTATTAAAACAAACCCTAACAAAAAAAATTCAAACAAGGTCATCTTCTTCCTCGCGCTTTGACTTGCAGATAGCGGCGCTTTTTCGCTCCTTCCACGCCTCGCCACACCTCGCTACACTAAGCGTGCAACAAGCTAAACGTTCGTACGCCTAAGGTAATTTCCCTCTGCCTCGCTCCTACGCACGCTTAGTCATGCTTTTGAAAACACTAATTACAATATAGGGTAAATTACTCAAATAATCCTCAAACTTATACCCGATTTACATTTTGGTCCCTCAATTAATTTATTCATTCAAATGGTCCATCAACTCTATATTAATCGCTTCATTTGATCCTACCGTTAAATTATGTTAATGTTGCCGTCAAATGTAAGGGTAAAACCGTCCATAACTGTCCTATGTTCCCCAAATAGGTGATAAAGTGGTGATACATAAGTGATAAAGTGGTGATAAAGGGGTGATACATAGGTCAAAAGTCTTATTTACCCCCACAAATGTAGCATGTGCTGCTCACGTGACTAAATTTAACAGAAAATGTAACGGTAGGACCAAAGCGCCGATTAATAAAGAGTTGGTGGACCATTTGAACGAATAATTTAGTTTATGGAACAAAATGTAAATAGGGTACAAATTTGAGGATCATTTGAGTAATTTACCCTATATATATATATATATATATATATATATATATATATATATATATATATATATTGTAATTAACAATCAGCTTCGTTATTACGTGCTTGTCTGATAGTTGTCATAGAAAACACAGAGAGCCATGAACACATACTGCTTGTAATATATAGCCTGCCATCGATATATATATAAATATATGCTGTGATATTTTCGCTCATGAATCAATAATGATAGGGATGTATCATATGACACAGAAAATTTGCATGAGCTAGGGTTATTAAGTATCTAGGTATGAGCAATAATGCTCTTTATCCTATTAGCTTTTAACCAATTCATGACCTTTCTATGAAAAAGCAATTCAAAAGAATTCAAAAGAATTTGAATCCCTTTTAAGCAATTCAGATTTCAGATGAGTCAGATGGCCGACTTTGAGGACCTTGAAACAAGCCTGGTTGAGGTTGAAGTTAATTATAACCTGGGCTTCAATTTAAGATCAAAATATCTCTTCCCAACTAATTTCTCTCCTCTTTAATTAGTGAACAAAAAAAGAAAAATGGCATAGTAGAGCAGGAAGGCTGCTGGCCCCTGGGTCAAAAGACAAATTTACTGCGCCACCCACTAATTCCAAATTCAACGAAATTAATGTAACCAGACAGGAAGTAAAAGTTAAAATCAATGAAATTAAACAACATGGAAAATTATACGGGTAAGAGCATTCATAATGGGCTCTTTAAATCACATCTTTAGACAAAATTTGGCGAGAAATAAGAAAAATACAACTTCAACCATGCCCTCTATCCACTTTCTAGAGAGTATGATTGGAGTATAGAGAACTCCTAAGATAGCATGCTACATTTTATAGAGAGCTTCTAAGATAGCATTTATATGTTTTTAGCTAAAAAATAGAGAATGTGATTGTAGATACTCTAATACTAGGCATACCACATTGTGTATCACTTCTCTAATAGAAACGGTGCCCACCAATACAATGTGGCATACCTCTATGGTACAAAAATATAATATGCCTAGCATTTTCCAAATTATACTGGCAAATTCTATATTCTTTCTAACAAAAATGAAAATAAAATGACATAAAATAAGTACTGCTCCCTGTTAATTACACATGATGAATAAAGAGTTTCCAACTTGATCATCAAATTTTTGTTTCACATTTTCTGCAAATTAGTCAAAGTGGAGGCAATTGAATATTTTTACAGATTTAATTGAACGTGAACATTACTTATTAGGTAACTTATTACGCAGGAGATGAAGATGACTTTTTTTCTTCTTCAGAAAACAAGAAACTAATAAAAACATTCAAACCCTATGAATGAAGGAAATAGCACATAAAATAAGTAAATGGTTTCAAATTCCAAAACCAATGTGCGCACTGACACTGAGCCTGGTCTGTTTCTTCACTGCACAGCAATCACGCCCTCTCTTTCTCTCTCTCTCGTTCTCACAGACTCTATCAATATTTTGTAAAAGAAGAGGAAAAAAAAGAAAAAAGCGAAATATAAATATAAAAGAGGAAGCACCGCCCTATTCGACCATTAACAGAAATGGCATTGAAAATGAGACCCAATATCAGAGAAACTCTCTCTTCTTTCGACTAATCGAGAACACTGAACGAGGTAGGGCACGTATAGTGTCTCCATCCATCCACCTTTGATTCTCTTCCCCCAAAACCAAAACCAAAACCCCCCCACTGTCTTCAATCCTTTAAAGCTCGCCGCAACTTCACCCTATGGAAGACGAGCACCCCCTCTCACCTCCAGCAGCCCCACCTCATCACCCTCCCCAAGACAACGACAACAACAACAAAAGCCCTGACTCAACCACCGCCTCCACCGCCACAACGCCAACAGAAACCAACAACAAAAAGTGCAAGGGCAAGGGAGGCCCCGACAACAACAAGTTCAGGTACCGCGGCGTGCGCCAGCGCAGTTGGGGGAAATGGGTGGCCGAGATCCGCGAACCTCGTAAGCGGACGCGGAAGTGGCTTGGCACCTTCGCTACAGCCGAGGACGCCGCCCGGGCCTACGACCGGGCCGCCATCATCCTCTACGGTTCCAGGGCCCAGCTCAACCTCCAGCCCTCCGGTTCCAACTCTCAATCGTCCACGCGTGGCTCCTCTTCCTCATCCTCCTCCTGTAACTCCTCCACCCAAACCCTAAGACCTCTGCTTCCTCGCCCCTCAGGGTTCGGCCTTACCCTCCCTTTCCCCTCATCCGCCCACCCGGTCCCGCTCATGGCATCAGGGTTCGTTCCGTATGGTGTTGGTGTCGGAGTTTACCCTAGCGTTGCTGCTGCTGCTACATCGTCCGTACAGCTGAGTCAGCATCATCCTCATCATATTAATATGAGAGACCAAGATAATCTTCAAAATAATCCATTATTGCACCAACAACAACAACAGCAGCAGCAGCAGCATCTTGTGGTGCAACAATTTCATCATCAGTACCCGGTATCTGGCGGTGGCGGTGGTGACACGTCAACCTCATATCAAAATACAAACCCTAGCCATGATCAAAACAAACAACTACTTCATCATACTCAAAACAATCAGGCCGATTCTTGTTCGTTCGATGACGGGAATTCGATTATGGGCTCCGGGTTGTCTCTGTCGTCTTCGCAACCCATGCCCGTTGCACCGGGGTGCTCGGATCCGATGGGCGGAGTGGGACCCATGTCTAGTGATAAAGTGGTGATAAAGGGGTGATACATAGGTCAAAAGTCTTATTTACCCCCACAAATGTAGCATGTGCTGCTCACGTGACTAAATTTAACAGAAAATGTAACGGTAGGACCAAAGCGCCGATTAATAAAGAGTTGGTGGACCATTTGAACGAATAATTTAGTTTATGGAACAAAATGTAAATCGGGTACAAATTTGAGGACCATTTGAGTAATTAACCCTAAACATATATAATCCCGTTCAGTTTTCAGCCCCATTTTGACTTTTTTAGTCGATGAGATCAAAGTGATGATTAACAAGATTGTACAAAAGACACGTTCCTAATTATAATATTGTAAATTTTTTTAAGGAGGAATCGAACTCCGTTATTTTAAGGTCAATCATACTTCATATTTTAATTTATAAAAGTATGCATTGTGATCAACGTGTGACATAAATTTTTCTTTCTTTGGGAGATAGATCATGTCATCATTCATGCATTCTATCCTGGTGTGTCCCATGTTTTCAAGAACAAACATATTTTGTTTTACGTTTCAAATTCAAAACAAGCTCTTTTTAGGTACATAACTACTGCAAAAATTGAAATAGACGAGGAAAAATTGTCATCTTTTTTGTTTGAAAACCGTCGTTAAATCGACCGTCATCTTTTGAATGTCTACGATGGTGATCCACCGTCGTCTATTAATTATAAAGACGACACTTTTACTACAAATCATCGTTTATTAAAGGTCAAGACGACGGTTTTGTTAAACAAACCATCGTCTATTAACTATAAACATGACGGTATGTTTGAAAGAATCGTCGTCTATTAATTGTAAACACGATGGTGTGTTTGAAAGAAGCATCGTCTATTATATCTAAAAAAGACGGTTCTTAAAAAAATTGATGTCTATTAACTCGAAAGATGACGGTTGTGTTGAAAAACCCATTGTGTATTATCTCAAGTTAAAAATGACAGGACTCGACCCAAATTCCACTTTGGAATTTAAGCCGAACCCTATGCGTGTCCGACACCTGGTAGGTGCTGGGCACTTTTGACCAAAATGCCCTTTTAAGGTTCCCAAAATTCTTTTCTTCAAGTTTGACTCCAATCAAAAATTCGGCAGAGTCTCCCCTATAAATTGGACTTTTTCCAAGATTTTTCAACCTATTAAAACGCAATTAATATCCACAACTGGCAGCATGCACAATAATAGAATTCAAGTGACCAAACATCAAATCTTTATGGCCTTAGGCCTCTCAAAGTCAAATTAAAATGTTCTGCCAACATAAACTGATCCAAACTTTTGAAACCACATGAATACATTAATAGATTTCAAAATAATTTAACTGAACAACTTTTCAATCACCTGGTCTCGCGGCTGCACCTAGGAACTCTAAGTTGCCTACATACCCTTAACAAGGGATCAAGCCACACGTAATTCTTGCAGAGTCTTTGGGACTATGGTGATCCTTTCTTTTTGGATTTTAAAGGATTTGATTCCTGATGATGAAGAATTCAAGATTTTACATATATATTTATATATATTTATAGTTCTGCATGTCTCTTTTGAAGAAGAACAAGAGAGATACAGATGTACTCCATTCCTTTCGAAGTTTGAAGCTTTATATGTAGACTGGGCTTGCATGCAAGGTTTCACAGTGATTTTGGTCTACAAATGGGTTGATGAAGAATATTAATTTACAAGATCGGGCCAAAACTTGCTTGCGCTTATGGAGTTGATGAGACAACAGTGCTGGGGATCATATGAGTTTGGTATTCACGAGGTTACAAAAGGCATAATGAAGTATTGGATTGAAGCTGGTGGTGATGGATAGAAATGCTTTGGTGAGCACAAGGGTTTAGCAAATTGATAAATGATGATGCTGCAGAAAGATCGATCTAAGGTAAGGTTGATTATATGTATGATTTGTTTACGAAGATCTCAAAACTTGAAGGATTAGGTTTTCTTTTTAATTATCTCTTTATAATATCAGATTATTATTTAATACATAGGGAGTTTTACTCATTTTTTAGGATAGTTTGGGACAAAAGAAGAAATTCGATCCATCGATCCCTCTTATTTATTTTTCGTGAACTGAGGAAATATTGTATCCTTTTCTAAAGAACATATATATAAATATCAAAAAATATATTAATTAGTTCTCTCGTTTTCTTGATCTGAAAAGGAAATTTGGGGTTTATTGTGTAATTAATTGTGTGTATTAGCTTATTTTGTTCTGTTCAACATGTTGGTATGTAAGGTTGCATATATCTTCTCTTTCCTGTAATATTTGATGGTGGCAAGAGCTAGCTAATCTTCCTATTTCTTTGGGCTTTGGTGCGCCTCAAAACCAAAGAAAAAGGATTAGTATCTATGCTACTTAAGATCTGTCAAGACACACATCATCAAAGCATCAATCTTCAGGTATGACTTCATCTTGTCACTACATTTAAGCTCTTTGTGCTAGCTTCAAAATTTAGAACTTCATTCATAATTGTCAACCTACAAGTAGAGATATGTATACTATGCATGTATATATTGTGAGGTTCATAGTTCACTAGGTAATTATTGTTAGCCAATTTCTTGACAACATAGCTTTTTCATCCTAACGGTTGTTTAACATATGGTATCACAACTTTGGTTTGAGGTTGTCTAACATAGTATTAAAGTTCTAGTTTGACGAGCTCCTTAGTTCGAATCCTCCAAGCCCCATTTCGTTATGTTTCGAGTGATTTCTTGTATGTTAAGGCTGCACATGTTCCGTCTTTGATCTGTATGCATAGGGCCTAGTGGTTGTCTAACAATTAGAAATGTCTCAAGTTTAACTAAGTACCCTCTTGATAATCTTTAACTTATATATGATCAATCTTTGGTTTAGTGTCAATGAAAAATTGATTGAAATCATTGAAAAGAGGGTGGTATCTTTTAAATGCGCCTTTGTATATATAACTTCTTCCGTTACCTATTTTTCGTTGAGCTAGATATTGAAGTACCGACTAATTATGTCATGGGACAACATAAGTTGATCCAACTGAGAAGATTTGAGCCATGCATCAATTGGTACTTATTTGCTGTGATGTTTACTTTAGATTTATTAGTTTAGTATGTATGCATTTCCAATCATGACAAAATTAAGCTTTGCTTATCGTTATAATTATTTGGACATGGATTTATTTTATACTGTATAAATCAATACTTGTGTAATGCACTACAAGTATTGATGTGAAATAAGTGATTGACGTTTGGCATTTGAGGGCTAGAAAGACGTTCAATTTGATTCTTGAATGTCTGTATTTTTAGGTTAGGCCCAATTTCTACCGTTGTTTTCAATTTCTTATCGTGAGCTAAGCTGAATCTAAAGTTGTTTGCTGTTTTCCTCATTCTAAAAGGTTGATTTGAGAGTGAGTTTGGGCTATCATCCGATTCCCCGATAGATAGAAAACGTCCTTTCAAAGATTAAGGTGGCCTTTCGTTTTCTGGATGGCTAATTTGATTCTAGTAGTTTCCTACCACTAACTTCAGTGTTATTCTTACAAGGCTCCTCCTACTTTGCTGCTCAAAAGTGCATGTAAACCAATATTAAGTGTGTCACAAGTACACCAGTAAATTCTTACAACTTGGAAATTCAAACTATTTTAATTCATTTCATTGTATATATTATCTTCTTCATATTTCAGTTTTATATTCTGGAAACATAATCCAACAACTTTGTCGATTTTACATGGTAATATCTAAAACGGTCCAATGCTAAGTTGATTTCAGGTGACACATGTTTTCCATCAAGTAATTTCCCAACTTAGATTTCTTCGTGTCCCCTCATAACAATCAATTATAATTTTTATTTACCATCAGTACGTACCTCCGTAGCAAAGCACTAATTAATTACTTTATGATATCTCGGTAGATATTGACAACAGATCGAAGGACAAAAACACTTATAATTTAAAAGAGAGATAATATTTTATTAATAAGATAAACAAAACAAGTACAAATTAATTAAGATGCCGATTATGAATACAACTTTTCTCTATTGATCAAACGCAACAACACCCACAAAATAATTACTATTCTTGAATCAACAACTAGAAGCACATGTACCATATATATAAAAACAGAAAATGAGGAGTCAGTTCAATGATTGGTGATATAAAGTTTTGTGAATGTTCTAGGCTTAGAGTACTATATATATATATATACAATAATGGAGAAAATTTGATCAAGTTGAAATTTTCTTCATAAGACAAAAGAGAAAGATAACCCAACTTATCTTTTGCGTTGATTAGATTGGTTTCCTATTTTATGTTCAGATGGATTAATAATTTAAAACTTCCGACTAATAAACATTTGCAACACGCAATTTTGCCTTATCAAAAAGCAAAGAAAGAATGGAGAACAAGAAACACCCAAAACCTCTCTAATTAGACGGTAAAAGTACAAAAATAAAAATAAAAATAGAATTTTCAGAGAAGCAACTGTCTGAAGAATACAAGATCAAAAATGAATAAAAATAAAGGAGAAATTTCATAAAAGGAGGCCCAGAAAAATAAAAATAAAACGTGAATAAGTTAATTTTGAGGATAAAGATAGCAAAATTCCAAGTCAAATGTGGGCCCTCATCCAATAGCAGAAGCCCAATGGGTTTGCTTACAGAAATATCTTATTCCGAAAAAGAATAAAAAATAAATTCATCATTCAAGAAATGTGTGAAGCCACTACTCTCTCAGCTGTCTTTAAGCAAACAATTTCGCCGCCACCAAACCAACCAGCCCCTACTTACTATATAAACCCTTCCTCTTTTGCTACTCACATTCTAATCTTACTTAAACCCACTTCAAATCTTCATTAATCAAAGGCGATCCACCGACCTTCTAAATTCCAAATGGCTTCCTCCTCCCAACAATCTCAGCCCTTCGACGGCCACTTCACGGTGCTGGACGACGCCCAGTTTCATATCCGAGGCCGCACGCTCTTCTTCGTCGTCATCCTCTTCACCGTCGTCCTCCTCGTCACAGTCCTCATGCTCTACGCGCGCTGGGTATGCCACTACTACCCCAACACCTCCTCCCTATCCAACGCGCCGCCCAACGCGCCGCCGCAGAGTCAGCCCAAGGGACTCGACCCCGCGGTCATCCGAGCCTTGCCAATCGTCCTGTACCAGCAATCGGATCGGGACTTGGAGGCTGGCGGCGGCGGCGGCGGAGAGTGTTGCATATGCCTCGGGGTTTTCGGAGATGGCGAGAAGGTTAAGGTTCTGCCGAGTTGCAGCCATTGGTACCACTCTGAGTGCGTCGATGCGTGGCTCGCGACTCGGTCGAGTTGCCCGCTGTGTCGAGCTCAGCTCCAAGCTCAGTCCACTAGTTCCTGATTTTGTTTGGGCTTTTCTTTTTTTTGGAAAGAATTTACTTTTTTTTTTCTTTTTTCTATTTGGATGTAGAATAATTTAATTCATTATTATCCTATATCTTGTAAATTCTTGTAAAGCAGAACTGTCCTTCGTGTTATCGTCTTGTTTGGAGATATTTTAGAGTTTTTTCTTCTTCTCCTTTTCCTACTCTTGTCGTGGTTTGATTTTCGATATATTTTATTGCCTGAGGAAACCAGACGAAGATTGAGGCATAAAAATGAATGCTTTGTTCTTTCCCTATAAAAAACAAATGCGTTGTTTATACATTTGGCGGCATATGTTTGAAGAATGTCCTGGAGTTTGTCAGTTTCTTTCTTTTTCTTCTTAATTTGTTTTTTCTAATACAAGGAGTAGTGTAAATTAATTATTCTAATTAATTTAATTTATAACGGAGACTCGAACTCGGGTGTTAAAGAACAAGCTCACTATACTGATCAATTAGCTAAGCTCACGTCTCAATATTTTATTTACATTTTTTAAAAATTTGAGCTTTTTGATTATCCGAAGATCGGGCTTCTAAAAAGAAAATTATATTTTACTCCTTTGATCGACCCAAAATCCTAATGTTATAGTCGGCCCAAAACCCAATCTGCTCATCGGCCTAAAGTCCATTATTGGGCCGGATTGACATTGAAGAACTTTCAACCCAAATTTTGAGGATGGTAAGTAGTTGCCCAACCCAAATTCAAAACCCGACTTTAACATTAGGGTTTCTTCTTCTATTATAAATAGTCGCAAAGCGCTAATATCCAAACACTCTCAAAGATACGATAACTTCTTTTCTCCGCAGCCTTCTTTGCAGAACTAGGGTTTTGAGAGCGAACTTCGTTTCATCGTCACCATGAGAGCCAAGGTAAGAGCTCCATCTCCTTTCCCAACTTGCGCTTTCTCTTACTCCTTGTTTTTGTTCGTTTATTGATTTGTTTCTTCTTGTTTTGTGGCGTGTGCAGTGGAAGAAGAAGCGCATGAGGAGGTTGAAGAGGAAGCGCCGAAAGATGAGACAGAGATCCAAGTAGTTTTGCCGCCATCCTCCATCAATCGACGTTGTCTCTCACCCGATCCCCATGTTTTGTTTTCTAATCAAGTAATCAGTACCGATTAGTCAGCTTGTAGTCGTTCTGTACTTTTGTGATTTTCTCAGTTTGAACAAGTTTTGCTTAATTTCAGTCAGCTTTCAAACCATATTATGAGCTTTAAAATAACTCATTTTCTATCTGAGCATTGGTATCGTGATTTTAAATTTTGATGGTGATGATGGATATCTCTTATGTGTTGTGAATCGCATTTCTTTGTTAGTGATTTGAAATATTGTGTCCCGAGTTAGAATATAGTAGTTGATGAGTGTTCTGTTGCGATAGATGCGAGAGGTTGTTTTGTAGGCTATAGATTGTTGTGTGAGAAATGAACTATTTAGATATCACTGTCTATTTGCCAGATAGAGATGAATTTTTTAGGCTTTGATTTTAGTATTTGGGCGCCATGGAAGGTGTGATCTATGTGTCGGGCGAATGCCTAGCCTTGTTGAGCAGGCATGGTTTGTGTTCTAGGATGAGTAACAGATGAAAGACTGGGCTTCATTTGGACTTGTTTGCTTTGTAAGTTAATTGAAGTCAATTACGATAGTGGGTGCATATATTTTGGATAGGTCTATTGAATTCTGTAGTTGAAATTTTGGATTGGGTTGGACATGATTTTCTGTCATCGGAACTGAAAGAGGTGTTTTAGGTAGGTATGATCGAAAGCGTCACTGTCCTGGTTAGGTTGTATGAGAAATAGGTTGTATGGTTAAGACTTTGGTAATATGCAGAAGCATGCGTTTTTGAATGAGAAATAGGTTTCCTGTAAAATGCCATGACCTCCCACTTTTAGTTTGTGCAATGCTATATAATACATGCCTTACTAGCAGTTCTTGCTTGGTAAGGTGTACTGTGTATAAATATGAGTTTTATTCTCTGTGTTGGAGTCGGCACTCGTAATTGCAATTTTGTTCTGTTTTACTCTTAAAAGGAGGCGGAAGGCATATGCCTGCCAGCAGTTTTGTTTACCTTTCGAAAGCGAATATATCCTCCGCATAAGAAATGGAACTACATTCCTCGGTTGAAGGAAAAGTTATAAATCGGCAACTTTATGCGTTTCCATTTTTATATTCCTGCAACAGCGCCATATGTGTATAAACACTGAAAACCCTAAACAGAATATGCGGTTAATGTTTGTTGTGTCCACAATGTATTTTCGCATTGCGTACGGATTATTGCAGTCTTAAGATTTCAATCAATGTCCTCAGACGGTTTTAATTTTGTTGGTCGATTGCAAATAAAACTTGGGCAGATTGCTAAACTGAAACTTTAAGTAGTAATAAGAGTTGATAACTAACATCATGCGCATGATGATGCTCATGCGCATGAAGATTTTCAAGTTCACGCCGATTATGAAAGTGAGAATTCACAACCCAACAGAGACCAAACGATATTGAAAACTGAAGAGTGAAAATAGAAAATATTCTAGCATTACGGATCATTTTGGAGCGCTGCTGACTGAAGCCCAAACGACGTGGGACCATACTCGGCCCGTAAGCTATCAACGTAATTCCTCACCTCCTGGGCTATCATCCGCTGCATGATCGTCAGCAAACACGTCTCTTCCATCTCCACAGCACATTTCCCCTCGTCATCATTATCCACCGCTTCATGATCCTTGCTCTTCAAAACGACCTCGTTTTCCTCCTTCTCGCCGGGTGGCGATAGCGTCAGCGACGTCTCTACCACCCCGTCCCCTCCCACGTCCTCTTTAAAGCTATCTGGCTCCGGCGACGCCCTCAGGCACTGCCGCTTCATGCCCGGCTCGTACCTGATCGGCGCGGCCGAGTTGGAATCGGACGACGCGGACGACAACTCGGGGAGTTGGCGACGACGCCGTAGCGTGGAGTTCCAGTGGTTCTTGATGGCATTATCTGTTCGGCCGGGGAGGAGGCGGGCGATGGTGGCCCACTTGTTGCCGTGGAGGGCGTGGGCCCGGACGATAATGTTGTCCTCTTGCGGCGTAAAGGACTTGTGCTGGACGGTGGGGCTGAGCTGGTTGCACCACCGGAGGCGGCAGGACTTGCCAGAGCGGCCGGGGATGCCGGTGCTGATGAGGGACCAGTTGCGTGGGCCGTGCTGGGCCACCAGCTTGATGAGCGTGGAGTCCTCTTGTGGGCTCCACGACCCCTTCACTCGATCCTCATCACTGTTGATCACGCTCATGATGATCATCATACGACGATGATGATCACAGAGAGTTAGAGAGAGAGAGAGAGAGGAGAAATGGATTGTGTGAATTTGAGAATGGGAAGGGGAGAGAGGGGGAGTTGAAGAGTGTTTTTAACCGTTTGAATGGGGTGGGGGGGGTTGGGTTAGGCGACATGCATGAACCGTAAAACCGCTCTGATTCACATAACAGAAATTAACTTCAAACGCGTTTCTTTCCTTTCTGTTTTTCGTTTTTTAATTTTATTTTGTACGATAATATTATTATTAAGCCTCTGGGAAATGCTGGGTTTTGTTGTTGTTGTTGTTGTCAAACTTGTCTATTGGGTTTAAGAAGTAGGAGGTTATAACTTCCCCTTGTTTTTAAATTTTATTTTGTACGATAATATTATTATTAAGCCTCTGGGAAATGCTGGGTTTTGTTTTGTTGTTGTTGTCAAACTTGTCTATTGGGTTTAAGAAGTAGGAGGTTATAACTTCCCCTCTTCATTCCAATACTCTGAGCTCTCTAATCAAAAGAAAATTAATATATTTAGCTCAATTCTCTAGATCAATCTGATCCCTCAAGACTGATGACTTCGATTTGAGATGGACGGTGATGATGGCTGATGACAAAAAAACCCACACACACACACACACACGTAAGAATTAACAGAAAAAAAAGAAAAGAGTAAGGGCAGTTTGTTGAATGTAGAGTAGGATAGAAAGAGAGGGAAGTGGGTAACGGCTATCCGTTTCTTAATGGAACGTAAACGGAACGGAATAGGAGTGTGAAGCAACTGCTGAACTGCCCAACCGAGATTATAGGGGTGGATAAACAGTTAAAAAGTAAACTATATTATTTTTAACTCACCTTCTGGAGTTAATTACGATGGAAAAAGCAAGTTGGTAAACAAGTTTAATTCTACAACATGACATCAATTCCAACTACTACACTCGCAGGCATCGAATTCAAAGTTTGTGAGCAAAAAAGATTGACAAGAGTTGAAATAAGTAGATGCAGATAACAAAGTGGAGTAGCTAAATGCATTTTTTATTATCAAGAAATTAGGTATATAATCATTAACATCTCAAACCTCAATTGCGTCAAATTGGAGCGGTAGACTCAAATGGCACCTTTACAAATTCACCAAAAAGGGGATATATTGAGGGGTTTAATACAACTGTACAATAATATTCTATTGCTTATCATCCCACCAAAAAAAAAAAAAAAGGGTACAATAATGACTCTGTAATTGATCGGATGACTATTAAGGATTCCGTGTCATTATAGTCTCTCTACTAATGGACATGGACGACCATATAGTTACCCATTTAGTGTTTAGCAATGTGGTGGTGCTGTGGTAATTGGGTCCAGGGAGTACCCATTGTCTATCCCTACAAGCACCCTCTTCCTCTTTTGCATCCGAAGGCGATATAATTTTATTGATAATGCAGGATGAAAACAAGTACAAATAGGCGAGCATCTCTACACATAAGGGTGTAGTGGTCGTCGGACTACCTAGGTAGCCTACCTGCACAACCACAAGCGGGAAAGGGAACTTTGCCACTGTTAGAGCTTCCCCCGTCCCCCTAAGATCATACCAGTGAAAAAATTACTTGTTACAACCCTCGTACAAAGCATCAATAATTAAATATGGTGATTCTTCAAACAAAGTAGTAGTCGATCCTATGTGTGAAGCAAAGCATGGCAAGCACCCTCTTCTTATTAAGCAATTAGAGATTAACTTAGGCCAAAATAACAGAAATGCGATTATTTGTTATCGAATTCCAAAATTGCGTACAATTACAAGATGCCAGCTAATGCAACTTGGCAAAAATAAGCAAAACATCATATATATTTATTGTTCAATCTAATCATGCAAACTTCTCTTCTTCAATATGGTAGGAAGCCACAGATGATATATCACCTCCTGCTCCTTCCTTGTTGTGCCCACAGTTGCCTTATTGCCTTATGCATGCCACCAAGCTTATAGCTTAATCTCTCCACATGTCAATACAATCCATGATTGAAGCATGTCTCCCAAGGGAAGAACACAAAGAAAAGAATAGAGACTCAATGTACTCTATAAATCACTTGATTCACACACTTCAAAAAATCTTGGGAACAAAATAAGATCTAATTTGGGTATTGAAATGGCAAGAAAAACCTCTGCCTCTTGCTTCTAATTCGACAGTTTGGTGCCATAGATGATGCGCAAATTTTACTCAAAACCAACTTAAGTGACTGCTTGAGAGTGCTTATGCAGAGAGCCTCATCTTCTTCACTATCTTTACAGAGGACCAAAACGCTTTTGATTCGGCCACCCACACTTGCCATGTCTGCTCTCACTGCTGTCAGCTTTAGGCCTTTGAGCACTTGAATGAGCTCCGAGAACAGTTCTGGCCTGTCATCGCAGCAAACAGATGCCCTTATGACGATACTGCACCTGCTTTTGTTCATATTAATATTGTTGCTGCTGGAGTTCGCAGCAGCCTGAGCAGGATCAGAGTCGATGGTTATTTCATCCATTTCAGTTGGAACCATGAAGGCTTTGCTGACTTCCATTGCTTTTCGCTTTAGATCCTTCACATGATCGATCACACTTCCCAACAGAGCCGCCTTGTCCATCTGTAGAAACGTCAACATGTTATGTTGTTAGACAGTCAATCAATCGAAAATCGAGAATTATTAAGTGATATTGTACTAAGTACCTTGTCGGACTTGGGAATTAGTTTCCTTAGAGTTGCAAGCTGTGCATTGATTCTATCTCTGCGCCTTTTCTCTGCTTGGCTGTGGCTCTTTGAAGCACTTGCAGCTCTGTCTTCTTCATCAGCACCTTCAGCTGTTGCGGACCAAGAATTTGGGAACCCACAAAACTGGAATTGGGTAGAGCTGGAGGCATGAGGAGGCCATGGAAGTGGAAAGCTGGAAGACTCATTGCTCAGTGCAGCAGAGTTGTAGGGAGCCCAGGTTGCCCCTTGAGGACCAGCACAATAACAATTCTCCATAGCCAAAAACAACCAACACTTCTCTAAAACCTTACTCTCCATCCCCTTTGCCTTTTTATCTCACATCAAGATCTACTGTTCATTGCACTAATAATGTGTGATCTCCACACCTTTGATAGTGATCGGTAGTTATCCATAAAACCTTTAACTTGTCAAATGAAACTTGCTTTTGGCTGTATCCGGCTGTTCTCAATACGATTTTTATTTGTATTTTGTACTTTTTTTTTCCTGCTTTTCTTTTCATTCATCAGTAAACAACAAAACCTTAAAGGGATCTTGATAATTAGAAAAATCGAAGAATGCTTAATCCACTATATATTTCACTGCATTTGGGTTCACAAAAGGACATAGAGATCTGTCTCACCACATCAACTTTCTAAACCAAAACAAATTTAGAAACATCGTATAGCAAAACTTGCAAAAATCGTAGTAAAATATTGTAGGAGAAGATCATGTTATGTTATCAAACTATCAAATATGAAAAGAGAAATAAAACCGGCAAGTGGCAATGGCATAGAAATTGTTGTGGTAGAAACTAAGTGATTGTTCATAGCAGCTGCTCTGCTGTGCATGGATTGATTTGGTAACAGAATAGTAGGGAAGAACTTAATTTGTGATAAAAACGACGAGAATAAGATTTGTAAAATGCTAATTAATGTTGTAACTTTGTCTAATCTGTCCTCCATTTTTCCCTCCATCTTTTCTCTTTAATTTGGAGTGTGCATTGAGGAGCATGTAAGCTCCCATGAAGGAAAAAGGATGAGGCTTAGAGAGGAAATTTTATGATGTTTAATGAGAATTGACTCATATTAGCACAATGCTTTTCAGCCTTTAAATATACAAAGCTCCTATTAACCCCTTAAACCAACCATTGTTAGGAAGTTCTAACTTACTCTTAACACAACTTTAACAAGACTAAAGCACACTGCCACATCACCCATAATTCAAGTGAGATACAGCTGCTGGCAGCTGACTTGTGCTTTTTCAGGAACCACTATCAAAGCTCACCACTACGCTTTTTCATCCCCACTAAATTAGGACAATTGTGCAATATTGTTTATGTTTAATAGTTTTTTCTCGTCGTCTGACATGATATGTTTTCAGATAGCGAACTAAAACTGTTAATAGTTAAATATATAGAATCGGGTTGAATTTATTGACAATTGTCAAACATAATCTTACTGTCAGATCAGATAATTTCCATGAGATCTCTTAAATCTAGCAAGATTTATTTCTTGTATGCCTTATTAACCTAACAAGTTGCCACTCATTTTAGTGGCTCGGTTTGTCCTCTTTCATGGGTTTTGCTTGTAATGTACGGCACAAGCAGACAAAAATACTTCAATAAGAATCAACGGCCGGATATATAGGGCCCTGATTTCACTCAAACATTGTAACTCACCATAAAGAGGACTTTAAAGATTGATACGACATCTGATCAACCACTTGCTTTGCAGAGTTGCCCATTTTCTCATATTTGTGTGGTGTTTATAGCTCCCGTATCTTCCTCTTCCTTCATTTCTAAAAATCCATATCTCAAACGCAGTCTTTTCGGGTCCCATTTGGTTCAACATATTTGCTTGAATTATATCAACCGTCGGCAGGAGCCATGATAAAAAGGTGACAAGTCTAAAGACTCTGAAAATATGAATGGCTCCAGTAGATAGCCCACTTTGGTCTTCTCTCTGGTCATAGATGACAGCAAATTAAATGAGCACGTGTTTGATTATGAGAACAGATGGGTGAGCTAATGCATGTTTGATCCAACTTAAGAAAGCTCATGTTTTAAAAGTGCTGGCAGGACATTTGGGACGAATCAGATTCTGCCCAAATGAAATGAGCCGCAACTCATGGTTGCGTTTTGCACTAAAATATCTCAAGGTCAATGTAAATTTTGACAGAAATACAAAGTGAAATGCTTTTTCTTTGTTCATTTTCAACAAAGTGAAAGACTTGTTTTTGAGGAGACAAGGAAACAAAGGGAAGAAGTTCAAGGAATTCAATAGCTGTTACCATATGTTTATCTTCAATGAAGCTACAAAAGTATACGAGCAGTAAATGTTGAATACTCATGATCATGATACAACAAATATTGACCCTACAAATCTTTGTACATTGACGTGTATATCTTGCCTAAAATGATTTCAAATCCTAGTCCTGCAGCTGTGGCTGCGAAGGAGGAGAACTTTGGTACACGGAGGCGTCAAGGTGGCTCGCCCGACGTTGATTTCGAATCCACAGTCCATCACTCAGTTTTCATTGAAATGGATGGCACCAAGTTTCCAAACAACGTAAGTTGTAGCAAACATGACCGTGCTGATAAATACAAATGAGAAGATAATTAGAAACAAATCAGCACCCCCTGGAAAATCCCAAGTTAGGCCCTGCTTTGGCATCCCTCGCTTGCTGTCGTCAAAAATGTTTGTAGGGGCCTCTGGAAGTCCGGATCTTTTCTTCCCACGTTCACTGTCTCTGAGAGCATCTAATACATTCTTGCCCCTATCTGATTTTTTGGTTGGCTTTGTTTCAGTGTTATAACGCCTGAGAACCTTGGCTGCCCTCAGTCTCTCCCTAGCTGTTAGCGGCAATCTTTTTGATTTAGATTGCACGTTAGGTGACAGAGGTGCCTCCCGCTCCTGGCTTGAGGAAACTGAAGACCCATTGGAAGCCTCAGAGGTTTGAGTCCCTGACTGATCTAGGACACTAGTTTGGAACTGACTATCGTTGGCAGAAGAACCCAAAGATGAAGAATTCACAACTGGTAATCGGTCATCAGAAGGAGAACTTGCAGTATTTCCAGAAGCCTTATCATCGGTCTCTGTGGTAAGACGATTGCTATCAGCAACTGAAAGACATAAGCCCCATCTTTTCTTGCTTATATCCCTCTTTGGCCTAAATGTTCCGAATGAAGATGTGAATTGGGTAGCCGTAGGTATACAAGCTCCAGCAGAAAATTGTGACACGCTCTGGTGCTTGGCTTTTAACTTCAAATGGAGAACAAAAAACTTCCGTAAATTATAGAATCATTTGTTGAACAATCATCTCCATCATAGTTAGAAACAGTCCCTTGAACCGTTCATTAGCAATAAGAGCATGAAACTATTCAGCTATATAGAACACAATTTTTGAAATGTACAATTAATTTCTAATTTAGATGCATTGAGACATCGTACCAATCATGCAAAAAAGTAGAAAGCATATATCAATGATCAAGTCTAACTAAGAGTGAAGCTAAGTACTTCTCCATTCATAAAACAGACCGAAGTTTTGAAAGGTAAACAAAAATTCGCCCTTGAGTTCTGACTATGAAGCTTAAGCAAACAATTTAACATGCAGACACAGGAATAGATGAAAATCATAAAAGGAGAGGCATAAGTTTTCTTTTCTGAAAAATGAAATCACCATAGGCGCCTTCCTTTCTTCCAGGAAACTTGGGTCAAACAAAAACAAATTGGGCACAATAGTCATCAGTCGGATTAAGTCCTGACAGTCAAAAACCTCAACAACTACAAGAAAGCCTTATCCAGACCAAAAAAAAGACCCTTGAGCCAAGATTCATCCTTTCGGTTCAGCTTTAACACCATCTAATATCTACTTTAGTGCAAACAACTCAGAAAATCATTGCTCCAATCCAAATTAAAGGTCATAACCCAGTTGATTATTATAAAAGAAAAAGATATTGAAGTGGGTATTATCAGTAGTAACTACCAGAAAAACAAAAACCCAGAAGGGGTTGAAAACAAAGAAGAAAAAAATTGGTTCAAGTTGTAGTAATTCGCTATAAACATGCATTCATAGACACAAATTGAACACAGACAACAGAAGGAATGGCGCATAAGAGGAGCATGAAATTACCATAGAATTGAAGCCAACTACCGAGTAGAATGAAACAGCCATTTTCTGGTCGTCTACGGCCCAACCATTTAGAGAGAGAGAGTTACACACTGTGTGTCTGCGTTGTGGTGCAATGAAGGAGTGGATGGTCTGTAATCCAAGGAAAGGGGATGAGAATTTGATGGCACCACAGCCTATCCTAGCTCGTGCTTAGCACGCCGCCTTATTTATTTTTTGTTTTCCAGTGTCCCAACGACATGTCGTTTTATAATGAAAAACAATGAAGTAACAATGCGGTCTTTCATTTATTTCATCCAAACTTGATTGAATTAAAAATCTAACGGCTCAACATTGTCCACATTAACGTTGAAAAGAGAAAAAAAAAAAAAAAAAAGGGAAACCAAGGGCTAAATTGGATGTCTAGAAGAACTGTAAATATGTGAAAGGCAATACAGAGTCGCTCAGAAAACTTGGATTTCTCAACTACATGAAATCATAGACATCGAAATTATAACAATCAGATTGGAGACAGCAGCATAATCTAACTTTTTGAGTTACTGGTAAGACTTCGAGTGAAAAAATAAATGTAATAAAACTAAGGGCTGATGGAAGGGCTCTTCTCTATTAAGTTACAAGTATATTGTGATTGATTTCAAGTCCTCTATTTTGAAGCCTGGTTAAGTATTGGAGAGACGGCAGCTTTGAAATCTTCATAGAATCTTTGCTCAGAATATCTGCCAGCCCGTTTCCTTGCAGCTGCAGCCATCTTGAGCCTCGCTGTTTCTGGCATTTTTATGATACTGAGGATGGCATCTGCATATTCCTCCACGGTGCAGGCAAGAAATCCTGTTTGCTGTCCATCTTCAGGTAAGACAATGTCCATTTTTGGGCCAGCAGAATTATGTGCTGAAACAAGGGAAAACATGAGGAACATCAGCACAGGAAAGAATGAATAAGATAAGTTACAGAGTTTGTTGGTTCAGATTCAGATGACAGATAACTTGAGATGCTCACCAATTGGGATGGCTCCTGCAGCCATATACTCCACAACACTTATTCCAAAGTGCTCATCAGTCATTGAATGGATTCCTGCAATGGCTCCTGCCAAAAGTTGCACCAAGTCCCTGTAGACATGAAAACAAACCAAGCTAAGAAAGCAATGACAAATCCAAATAGGGGTCATCAAATTACAAGAACAAAAGATACCCAACAAGTTCAAGAAAACTTATTTACAAATAGAGAGTAGTTCAGATGTTTGCAAAAGCATTTTACTAGATTAATTTGTTGAGCATAAAAGGATACAGAACATGAAATCCTTAGCACAGACCTGTACATGACATTTTTATGAAATTCCACATCCCCGTCCACTTGCAATTCAATTGCTTTATCTTTCAAACTTTGTAATCTTTCCTCATCCGACTTATTCCGACAGCTACCCACAAACTGAAGCTTAGGTCTGGGCAAGTGTGCATCTAATTTCCTTATGGCAGCTGCAAAGGCCTCAAGTTGGAGGCCATGTGCCTGAGAAATCAATAACCAAAGTTCATAAGGACTTGCCAGCAGCCACAACAAGTAAGGGCCCCAAAAATGAGCCGCAAAAATCTTAGTACCTTGTGCTCATAAGGTTTATATGCCCACCTTCTCTGGCCGAAACTGTGCAACAGATACAATTTTTGCCGGTTCCGCTGGCCTCTCCAAAGAAAGCACCTATTCGGGCAGAAACTTGTTAAAAGGCAAATCCAAATTGCATATTTGCAGCACATCATAGTCACATTCATAACTGGTAAAACCATGTTCCCAAGTAAAATGTCAAGACACTGGTAACAAACCTGAAGTCCAGAAGTATCACAAGGAGGGTAGACACGTATAGTCCGTTCCGGGATGCTCCAGAGCTTTTCGATATGGGACTGAGTCCAGGAAGAATTAACCATAGCAAGATGGGCACAAGAGCCTACAATCCCATACATCCGGCTAAATATATTGTAGTAGATGACTTTGCAGCTGGATAACCAATTGCTACAACAACACAACAAAAGCAATCCATGTTGAGCTTTTTTCGGCTAAACAAATAGCAATGCATATCATTCATCAATCACTATCAGCAATCAGCACATGTTAATAGTGACGATGAACATACCTCTGAGCAATGAAGTCGTCATTGTTGTACATGGAGCTCCGCTGACGAACACGAGAGAGCATGTCGCAGCTGATTGTAGGGTAATGGGTGTAGCAGATAACCCTGCATCCAAACAGCCTGGCAAGGGGATACGTAAAGGCGTAGCCACTGGTGTCGAGATAGTAAGTAGGAGTGAACTTGGTCAAGGCCTCCCATGCGAGGTAGACAGAGCCAAGGCTCTGCCCAATCATGGTCAAGCGTGGGTACGTGGCTTCCTCGATCCACTTCCTCTTGTTCAAATGCACCACCTTCAAATTCAAACCCAAAATTCAAGTAAAAAAAACAAATTGAATCTTGATAGAAGACGAAAGTGAGAGAGAGAGAGAGTACCTTAGGTGGGTGAAGGAGTTTGACCCCGAAGCGGTCGAGGGCGCGCGCGGTCAACGAGAGAGGGGAGGCGTCATGGTCGCCGGTGTAGACGAGGCAGTGGAGGGAGGGGTTTTCGTCCTGGATGGCTTTGACGGCGCACCAGAGGACCCTCTCGCCGCCGCCGCCGTCGTTGGTGTAGGGGTGGAAGAAGGCCACCGCTCGTTTTCTGTTGTTTCTGGCGGTGAATATTTGGAGAGAGAATCTGAGGATCAAGGCTGAGAGAGCTGTGATCAGAACCCAAATCACGAATTGGTAAGCCATTAACGTCGATTGATCGTCTGGGGAGATTTGTAGAGAGGCCCGGAAATTGAATGATGAAAAAGGAATCAACTCGATCGTTTTTTTTTTTTTTTGGACAAACAACTCGATCGTTTCGATTTTCTGATTATGTAACGAGACCCAAAGATACAACAACACTAAACAGAACGAACACGATGTCGTTTTGGTTTTTGAATATGTTCGAATATTTTAATAGTATAGCCGCGCGACTATACTTTTGAATATATTCGGATATTTTAATCGTACAGCCGCTCGGCTATACTCTATATATGTATTTAAATATTTTAATAGTATAGCCGCTCGACTCTACGCTTTTAATGGTACAGCTATAATTATATTCAAATATTCTCCAACTCTCCATTAGTCAAACCACACATCTCTCTCTGAGTTAACAACTACGATTCATTCATTCATAGAAATACATTATATATGAGATTATAATGTTTACTATCAAAAAATGAAGAGGAAAATCACAAACTGGTTCATGAATGGTGATCAGATCCTATCGCCTATGCATGCGAACGTGTTTTTATCAAATATGTATTTTAATTGTTTTGAAAGGGCTGAAGAGAGTTATTTTAGTGTTTCAGTTGTTTGCGAGATGTCACAAAACTGAGGAAATAGGAGCATAGGGGATTTGGTAACAGTAAAATTGCACTCCACCTAGGCTCCCACCTAGACAGATTTTTCGATGCATTTCTTTTCTTTTTCTCTTTTTCTAAAATATATTATTTATTATCCCTTTGCCTATCACATTGAACCCAAAGCAATGTCAAGCGGATTTGGAACTTCAACGTTGAATAGGTTTGAGAAGAACGGGCTCTCAAAGGCTCTTGGTGATATTATAAGCAGACGACAAGATATGATAATTTCAAAATCTTAAAAGATAAACATGAAGGATAAAAAATCAGTCAACAAACTGCACTTGCAGTTGGAAAACAAATGGTTGCTGCACCAATCAATTATCAACTGGGGCATACATTAAAGAAGAGTGTAAATAAAGCACTTCAAAATTATCAGTGGTGTGTTTTGTATTATACTCAGGCAAGTTTGAAAAACGAGAACAATAATACAGAGGAGAAAATTCTAAGCTCGCCCTCAACCAACAGCCAAAAAGAAAAAAATGCCTCTGCTACAAAAGAATATTACAAGACGACATATCCACACAACCTATGACACAATTATTTAAGCTGCACCCTTTCAACCCATCAAAAACAAATTAGAAAAATAAAATAAAAAGGAAATGACGGCATGTAAGCCTTCATAAAATTACACTAAATGGAACGCTCTATCGAATAGGTTGCCCTACTGACTAAAACACCAAATTCAAGATCGAGTTCCACAAGAATAGTTCATCTCAATAGCTACTGCCCATTGGTGGCATGCCAAAAGGTGGCATGCCCATTGGTGGCATTCCTCCCATAGGTGGCGGTGGAGCAAACCCTCCTCCCATACCAGGCATTGGTGGTGCAGGCAAAGCAAGAGGCAGCAACTGAGCATACATGTTCTGCAAACATATTCAATTCAATGAATCATAATGCAAAATGATGTTTAAGCAAAGAAAGATTAGTCGAGAAGGGGAAATTTGGAATGATTTTTAAGTGAACGTAGGCAAATTGATAGAACACAGTTTTATACAAGGCAATAGTATAGGAGCAATCTCAAAGTGAATACCTGCTGTGCAATAACTTCTTTCTCTTCCTGCTCTTTAGCCTTAACCTCTTTCTGAGCTTCAAGTTTGTCCTTCACTAGTTCATCAACTTTGCCAGTGTATTCACGGATAAACTGCAAAACAGAGAATGTGAAAGATCGCCATTACATAATGTTCAACTGGGTTGAATGTGCTTCTTCCAAGTGCTTCGATGAAAGATTCCAATCGAAACCAAACAACTTCAATTTAAAGAAAGTCCAATGAATGCTTAGAAGCAGAATGCTTGGAACCACAAACAAAATAGACAGCTAATTGACCCTTGACAAACAAGAAAGTTCAGGACAAGATTTAAAAAAATTACCTGTAGCAGATATGGGAAAGCAAAGTCAATCATGTTGTTCATCCAAGCAAGTTCAAGGACAACATCTGCCCTAATCAAATCATAACAGACAAACAGGCATGATGCAAAGCATTCTTTCTTTCCCTGCAATTTGAACAAAAAAATAAACATTTATTAACCCTAATAATATTAAAATAAAAAACAATAAGTGGATTTTCTTTTTTCTTTCAAAGAGCTCCTTACCTGTTCAATGAAATAAACAAGCAACTCCTCTGCAAGTTCACGGTCACCAGACTGTGAGGCTGTCTCCATGGCATCTTTGTAAAGTTTGTCTTTCTTTGACAATCCAATGGACTGCTTCCACCTTCCAGCTTTCTTGTAAATATAAGCAGCAACACGTCTCATTTCCAGAAGCTCGTGTTTCTCAATCTGACCAAACAAACAGTTTAAGGCTCTTGCACATAAACACATTAAACAAAGAACAAACTACAAATAGAAAGCATTTCACCTTTTGAGCAAGGCCTATTTGGTCAAAGCTATCGTGCAAATCAATTGATTCACGCAATCTTTCATAATCTTCCTCCTCAACATATATCGCATTCAAAGCCTCATTAACAGCAGAGACATTGTTGCTCTGAACTGCAACCATGTATGGCTTCACAAGAAGCAGGTGACCGGCCTAACATATTCAAATGCAAAAGAATCTCAACATAAGAGCCATGGAAATGAAATTCATTATCTATACTTCCAGTAAAAAAAAATGTTGGATGGGGGAGGGGCATTAAGAATCTAAGCTGCCAGTAAATACATGCACAATCAATTACCTTCCGCATAATGTCAACCACACGTGTATGATCTACACGAAGTGCGAGCACATTTAGAAGATCATTAATGAGATCTGGATGCTCTTGCAAGTAGAAGTGCACGGCCTTATAATATAGCTCCACATTAGCAACTTTAACTGCCACATCTTTGAACTGCATGTGATCCCAGGCTTCAGGGGAATGATTCATGATGGTAGTTGCAGCATTATCAAACTCATCATATTGAATGTACAGATAGGTAAGCTCCTTCCAATGTTGCTGCTCATCACAAGCTCGTATAAGCTTGGGAATATTTAGACGATTTGCAAACAATTTGATGTGCTCCATAAGTTTCTCCGGACGATATCTAGCATATAGAACCCCCAACTCAGTAAAGATTCCCATGTGAGCACGTTCTAACCCTAGACCACTCTCCATTAGAGATATTAGCTCGTTGAAGCATCCTCTATTCTGATAGTATTCACTGACCTCTTCCAAATCATCCACCTGTAAAATTTAAAACAGCACACAGATTTAGTGAGAAATGTATAAAAAAGGAGCAAATACTCGAAGAGAAACCAGATTTCGAAGCTTCCAGGCATTAAACAACTTAAACAAATATTTTTCTTTACACACGAAAGGTCCCCTCTTTTAGACATCCAAAGAATCCATGCAACAAAATCTAGATTGACATATGAGAAGTAGATGCAGCAAATCACCTGTATAATAATGTTGAGGCCACAAATCTGAGCTAAGCGGAACTCCTCAGCATCAACACAAGCAAAGCAAACCTCCTTCCATGTCTTTGCACTGTTGGCTTTTCGTGCTGCATCAACAGCACCTTGGAATTGTTTGAGCTTCACTAGTGTTATTGCCAACTTGGCCCAGTTAGATATAAAAGCAAATATTATTTTTGCAGCCTCATAGAGGGCCTCGTCATATAGGCGATCACCAACATTTTGGAGATTAGCAACATTAGGCATAAGAATAAACTCTTCAATGTCAGCAAGCCTATCAATCTTTGCATATGCATAAATGAGCTCGCTGTCCACCTTGGGCTCTCTCGCCTTCTGCCTAACCATCAGAAGGTACCTCACCAAGTCATGGTAGACATCTGCATCCTCAGAAGCACGAATAACATCCAAGAATTGGGTGGCATCATCCGCACGAATGAATGACTCAATCGCATCGCTCACCAGCCCCTCCCGGAGTTGAGCCTTTGCAACCTGGCTCCAAACGGCATCTTCTTCAACACGGAATGCAAACTCCACAGCCCTATCAATGCTTCTGATGTTATCCAGCAAGACGTTAACAGCTTGAACATTCAAGTTAAACTTCTTGAAAATTGCAAATGCTTCCTCATACAGCTGGGCTTCCACAGCTACTTCCCCAACTGCAGGTCCATCAAAATTATCTAGCCTATTAATATAATCCATAACTCTAGACGGATCTGCCTTGATGGCTGTCAAAATTAGCAAGTTTTGCAGATTGAAGTTGCCACTGAAGGCAGAGTTTTGAAGCACAATCTTTTCAAGAAGTTCAATTAATTCGTGGGGCAAATCAGCAGTCATGAAAGCCTTAACAGCCGCAGAAACTTGTTCTGGGCTCTTGCTCTCAGGCAAGGCAGTAGAAACAACTTGATCAATAAGTTGTCTTCTGTACTCATTCTCAGGGTCAAGAACTTTTCCCCAAAGATCTTCATCCATTCTCTCAACCACATATCTGAGACAAAGAAGTAGCAAGTAAACCTCCAGGAACCAGAATGAAATGAAATATTTTTAAACAATCAAATACTAAATCACCAACCTTGCTTGCAATTTGAACAAAGAGTTTTTATTTGTGACATTAATAAGTTCATCATCACATTGTCCACGGCGGTAAGCAACAACAGCAAGGGTAGGGTCACGTTTCTCACAATATTTACCAACAACACGTGAATCATAATATGGGTTTGTGGTAAGGAAGTGCTCTGGATTATTGCCGCTATCAATGATGATTTTACCCAAAGCATTGTGAACATGTACGTCTTGGCTTCCCTCACTCACAAGATGCTCCAAGAACTGAGTGAGTAAACGAAGTCGATTCCTAATGAGAGGGACAAAAAGAAGAAAATTAAGTATGACGAAGAAAAAGAGATGATGGAAGGACATAAATTAGGATACCACCTCTTCTCGCATTCCTCCACAAGGGGCTCCACAGGAAGCAATGAACGGACAGAAAGAATCAAGCCCTTGATAAAATCTTCAGGGCACTCATCATCAAGCAACTGTCCCACAACTAAAGGAGCATTCCCAGGATTCACCTATGCAAAGTGCCAAACATTCTCAATACTAAAAACCCATAGTCATGCACTTTGAAGTGTCAAAGAGGGCTAAAATAGTACCTTTTGAACATAACCTTCAATGTAACGAAGCATGTTGTTCGTGTACAAGTAGTGGGTCAGATCTGGAACAAATCCAAAACGATCACAAACATTAATGAGTGGGCGTGCATCTGGGAGCTTAGCTTCCATTAAGAAGTTCTTTGTTTTCTCAGCGTCATAGAAGTTTGATTCTCTAGTAACTCGCTCCACCTCTTTGATTTGTCCGGTTTTAGCAGCTGCCTCAATGTACTTGAAGTGGATATCAGGATCCTCACTGTCACACATTAGGAAAATAAGAATCAAGAATAAACTGGATGTGACATCCACAACAGGAGACAATAGAGAAAACTTCTCTTCTTGAACAGATTACCTTGAGCTCAGAAACGACCCAAGGAAGAAGTACAACCCTTCATATGACTTGAACTGTTCAAAAAGCTTCATGCATTGATCAACACCCAACTGCTCAGAGTATTCCTTAGCGACCTGTGCAGGTATTAGTTTGCTTCAGTTAAATCTCCAGTTATATTTTTTAACATCACTATATGAAGAAGAAAAAAAAAAGTGTATACCTGCACAATTATCTGAAGGTTGCCTCTTAAATTGACCAATAAAAGATCTTTCATACACTCCAATGCCCATTCTCGTGAAAGAGTGCCGAAAAACTCTACAAGTGACTGTAGAAGAAGAAAAAAAACAATTTTAGTAACAGTTCTACAAGTTAATGGTACCAATTTGATGTAGTTAGAGAGGAATACAACCTGTGGCTCTATTGCATGTGTATTCACTATAACACGTTTAATATCAGGCAACTCTGAGTAATGCTGCATCAGAAATACAATGTTTAAGACAAATGTCATCATTGGAAAATACAGAGGGTAAGAAAAGGAAATAGAACTGCAAGAAGACAGCTTACTTGCAGAGCTCGCACATAAAGACCAGCTTTTTCACATAGCTGGGCAATTCGAGGGCGATCATAATGACTGAACATTCCATTGGCTAAAATAGCATCAGCCACATTTGGAAAAGTCACTAAATTGATCTCAAGGACCTGCAAGGATGAAAATATGTCAACCAGCTGAAAACAGGAAAGTTCAGATATACATAAATAGCTCTGAGGATAGAAACCTTGGTTTGCAGGAAAGCATGTTCTGGAAGATTTGGCTTCAGAACATCCAATAAAAAGGCGGTCGCCTCACGAATCAGGTTCCTCTAAAATGACAAAGAGAAACAAAAAGCATGTGAGTCTTTTATTCATCTTTTAATATTTCCATAATTTCAAAGGTTTCATATAACTTTCTTTTACGAAAAAAACAAAACAACTTATGCCTTATCATGAACTTTGTTGAGAAATAATAGAACACAAAACACTGAAAATGAAAAGAAGGATACCGTATCGTAAACCCTTAGTCATAATGAGAATGAACAAACCTGAAGGAAGAGATCAGTTATGGTGTTGTAATCAACTGGACAACCACCTTCCATTTGGGACATCATCAATGCAAAATTAACAGCACCCTACATTCAAAATCACATCATAACCTGGTTTAGTTTCAACTTTATACAACTCCTTAAAAGAAGTTCAAGTTCAACCCAATACAATTGCAAGCCAAATGTACACAGTGATGTGGGTGTCAACTGAAAAAATACAAATAGAAGGACTTTTTTTTATTTCAATGGGACATTCAATGAACAAGGATCAATGTGTAATCTAGTTATGCTTTCGGCTTTCAAGGACTAAAATAGAAAATATAAGCTTGCTGAGTATTGTTTGCATACCTGCGGATCTGCTCGAAGAATTGTTTGCAAAAGGAACAGATAGTCAGGCGTGTAGCCAACCTAAAGCAACCAAGAGAATGGATATCAGACACCAACAGCCATTTACCAAATACGAAAACATTTAGAAACCATTGCTACATAGAAACATTTCCTCACCTGCTTTGAGTAGATCAGTATCTTGTCAAATTCCCTTCGCTCGGCAAAAGCTGCAACAACTTTTGGAGTTGCTCTGGCTTTAATATATATTTTCAAAGCAAGATCATTATCCACAGTCTACAAGAAAAAAAAAACTATATTAACACCAAAAATGTAATAATCCAAAAGATAGCCAAGTTTAAATTCAAATAGCAAAACAAACCTTCACAAGATCTCCCAGTTCCTCGCTGCATTCGAGTTTGTCCTCTGCCAACCAGTTCTCCAAAAGATTCTTTTTGTTCTGGTTCACTACAAGACGTGATAATTCCAATGACTCGAACGCATTGAGCTTCCCTCGTGTCAAGAGGGTCCCAAAGTACTGCAACAGAGGTGGGGTTTGCCCAGTTTGGACAGGAACGCTCTGCAACACATTGGAGAGACAATAAAACCATGACCGTTAAATTTCATCAAGTTGTAGTCTATCTTAAAAAGGCACACAAAAATTGTAACTCTCACCATCTCAAACAAGTGTACATCAAGTCTAAACTTATCAAGCACATTATGCCTTTTTACCAATCAAGTTTTATCTCAATTTAGTCCACTATTGCACATTTATTATTCATTCATTTCTCACCAGCTTTGAAACAGACACAGAAACTTGAATTTGTTATTCTCCTCACCGAGAAAGCATCATTAACATTTCTCATTAATATTCTAAAGCTTAAAAAATTCTTATACCAAAATTTATCAGATGTAGCCTCTTAGAGAATACTGCAATCAAGCCATTAAAAAGACATCCCAAATGGCCAAAGGGCATGAACTACTTGAACACAACAAGCTTCATACCAGAAGCTCGATACCAATAAAACAACTAAAAACAATAATACTACATACATGGGAGACAAATGCAGGACAAATCATCTGAAGTTACGAAAATACTAGCCAATGGACGAAACATGTACAAGTACAGAAGCAAAATGAAACCTGAAATTTAGCAACTGTATCAGGTGTACGGAGAATTCCTTGTGGGGACTCAGCAGCAAGTTCAGCAGCTTCTTTGTACTTAGTTTGGGCAAACAGTTCTTGGAAACGCTGGACAACCTGTAAGATTCAGGTAGGCATGTCAGCAATTTCACATAGAGGTGATTATACTTTCTCAAATTATGACATACATGCAAGATAACCAAGTACAGCCAAGTCAACAATAAGCCAAGGTGAAATTGTTGACCACCATATAGAATACGGCCTTCTCTCATCTCACCTCCTTTATTCTAAGGACTCTAATAGCTCACTCAAAAGGGTAATAAAAAACAAGACAAACATAATAGATATAAAATCAACATTCCATGAGTAGAAGTAAATACACTATATGGATAAATTCCCTTTTCCCACTCAACCTTAACAAGCACACCTTATTTGAGCATCCAGTTCAAAAATACTGACTAATCATGACAACTTCAAATTGGATACAACACTGCCTAACATTAACAATCAAATTGTCATTTGAACGATATCTTACTTTCATCGAGCAATGATATATGGATCCTAAATTACTCTTACAGAAAACCTACTACTACTCAAGCTTAACATTGAATAATAATGAATATCTTACAAGATTTTCGGCACCAGGAAGATTTCCTCTTTTGGCCAGATTGACAGCAAGCTCCAAATTGTTTAACTGCAAATTAAAACAAAAAAAGTATCTTAAGCACAACATCCTACTAGGAACACCATAACAAGAAAGGAGAAAAATATTTCAAACATACCTGACCACTGACAAAAGGCACAATAGTTTGTTCATTAATTGTAGCCAACAACACCTGGCCCCGCCTATTAACCGCATAAAACCCTCCAACTGATGAAGCCTCTGTTGTCAAGAAGATTGGATCCGGACTAATTCTATTTCTGTAAACTGCACTAGCTGTCTCTAAATCATACACAAACAGTAGCCCAAGCTTTGTAATTACATAAATCAAGCTGTACTTGTGAGACATCTGCCAAATTAACAAATTCATTATTAACATATGTACCGTATTATACAAGATTAGTCAAAAACATTAGTAAATTCAGAACCTGCATGGCAACTGGGAAATCATCAGCAAAATCTGGAGGAAAGAACAGATCTGCTTGTTTCTTCGTAAAAGATGGCTTCCCTGAAGAAGAAAAAAAAGAAATTCAAACTCACAATATGTTCCTTTAACTTTACAATCATCAAAATACAATACATAAAACAAAAAAATTTCCATGACTCATTCCACTAATTAACTTTATGAGCGCACATTAAACTTATTCAAAATTAGATTCTAAGCATATGTAACCAATATCTCCATGACTAATTACCACTAATAATGAAGTACCCTATTTCAATATCCTACTAAACATAATCACCCTTTACAAATGTGTCGGAGATTGTGGGTAAAGAAACGACAAAACATGTGTTTACACAGAACAAGGCAGTCCAGCTCATTTCATGTACATGTAACTTTAATATAATCCTTATATCAACCTGGCTGGGCACCGAGCTCAATAACATGTAACTTTGATGTAATCTGTCCAGCATTCAGGGTCTTAGTGGCAAAAGAAATAAGAGTCGAGGGATTCTCATTCCCTGGAACCTGTTCAAAAGAAATGAAAACGATCAACAATATTCAAATATACATATACATATACATATACATATATATATATATGGGTATATGTATATAAATACACATGTACTAACGGATTGTATGCAGTGCAAGAGTGTAAAGATCAAATACAGAGTAAGAAAATGGGAAAATGAAATTGGCACACCTTGTATTGAGCAAATGATGCAGCATGTGCTTCAAGAGCTTGACTGCGCTGCTGATCCACAGAGAAGAGTTGCAAATTTCCTTTAACCAATTGTGGCCTCTACAAACAAAACAAGACTAAGGATCAGAAGCAGTACAGCATAAAAGTGGCCTTAAAAGAGAAGGGTTGTATATTTCGTCTGACATATTGTAAACTCTACAAACAGATAAGAAAAGGAACTCCATAAAAGGAAATGAAAACAAAACTAATATGGCAGCAGAGTTGTTCCACAATATCAATCATTGGCTAACATAGTTGCCACAGTATTGTTTATGAAGCTACACCAAATCTAATCCAAATAAAAGTCGAGACATCTTAATGCAAAGAAAGATTGACAATTAACGGGCTGACCACAAACACTCATTGAGCAAGAATAAAGAAAATAGGACTGCACTTGTAGGAACTCAAACAGGGCGACAAAAGACCCAAAGAGTTTTGCAGTTTCTGACAATTTTCCTCAGCTGAGAAAAAGAATCCTGGAGAACATAAGAAATGAATGCTGGACAGGCATTAATAGACATAACAGCATACCTCTGGAGCACCAGGAGCAATTCCAACCAAAACCAACCACTTCTCAGAAGGATCACAACGGTAATTTATTATCTGATTGTTTGCCAGATTAGCTGTTCGCTCAAACACCTTGACAGGTTCCGACTCCCCTACAAGGACAAACACATAAAGAACAAAAAGAATTAGCAAAACAAGGGAGTTGATCCCATAAATTTGAATGTTTCCAAGTGACAAAAAGCTGAAGATGTATGATTGGTTACTCCAATAAGTTGTTTAAGGCATCTTACCTTCAATTGACCAGTGATACACTGTAGTCTGAGTGACTAAACCCAACATCTTTGGGGTTATCCACTTCCAAAAAACAATCTACAAATGAACCAACAGGATAGGTAAGCTAGATTGCTTAAAACCCCGCAGAAAATAATAAGAACCTGATATTCTCACAAAATTTTGAAGAGATGCGAAAAAATATACAAATTAGTAAACCAATAAAGTGCGTACCTGTTCAGGCATAAGATGTGATTTCAATTTTGCTTTCATCTCAATGTTAAATATTTGAAGGTGATCCTGAGTAGTACCTTGGACTTGGGCTTCAAACAGATTTGACAACACATGAGCAAATAAATAAATAAATAATAGTGCAACATTAACAAAAGTATACACTAAAGTCCATAAAGAAAGGTAAGGCACTGGCAAGTAAAAACCAGTAGGTAAATAAGGTTACGAGCATAACATGTGTATGATAAATGCCGCTGGTCCAACTAACTATATGCTGTAGATGAATTAGCAGGGTACATGGTGAGTCTATCAGTCTATGACTAAACTTATTGCAATACTAATCAAGTAAACTAAGGGTCAATAAGTTTATGCTGAAACAAAATAATAAACTAAGTGCATCCACAACACATTAAGATCAAAACTAGAACGGTAAGCAAGAGCATTTCTCAACAGTGACAAGAAGTCAATGCACAATAATTATTCCTGCAATGCAAACATGTAGTTATAGCATACCTTTCAATGCAAGGATTTTGGAATTTGGATTCATAAGTGCAGAGTCCGCAGTGATTGGCCTCCTCAGAGGTTGCATCGGCATACTCATATCAATAATAACAATACTATTCTGCGGCGAAGTCTCCCGAACACATATGTACTTATCGGATTCCATAGTAACATGTGTGAATGTTATGAATTGTGGATTAATCCCAACGCTCGGAAGCTGCAATCAGATCAGATCACATAAACTCATCAATCACTTTTTTATTTTAGTCAAAACCTCTCAGTAAATAGTTGTTGTGTTCAAAATCATAGTTGCTTAAGTTAGCAATCCCTAGTGAGATAATTATCAGATCTGAACATAGACCACAAATTTTAGACACTACCAGATCCATGTGAAGCTTGAAACCAACTAAGTAAGCTTAAACGATAAATCGAGCAAAATAATTGACCAAACAGCAACTATTTCAGCTCAGAAAACAAGTGTAATTTGAAATTGAGCTTAAGTAGCATCGAATCAGAAGATAGAACTGACCGTTAGGGCTTCCTTCATGGTGATCGGAGCGTTCGCGGCCGCCATGGTTGCGCAGATCGACGGCTCGGAAAGGAAGGCTTGGATCTGCGGATGCGATTAGGCCAGCCGTGAACTGAGAGTCCAAAGTGAAGAGATGTAAAGATTGAGAGAGAAAGCGTTTCGAACCCTGCAGGGGATTCGAATCGCTGTGAGATCTAGAACAGCAACGAAACCCTTAGACCCGCAAAAGCGAACAAGGGAGAGAGATCTGAGAAAGGGGGTTAGAAGGGAGAGTTTTTTGGGATTTTATAAAATGTGGAATTTTCAAGTGAATTATAACGAGAAGCGGAGATCTCATCCAAGCCACTTCCAGAGCTAAACTATTTAAATAAATAATTAACTTTTCGTCTGGAGTAAAAAATAAATAAATATCAATACGTGTTAAAAATGTTCTGTGGTGCTTCGTTTTTCTTTCTTTCTTTTTTTTCTTGCCTTGGTTTTATTTTATATTGACGCCGGGTTCTGCGGGTCTGGATTCAACCCGACCTTTTTAAACGACTGTTCTAAATTTCTAATGGATAGTAAGGTCTTTTCATTGTGTGATAAATAACTTATTTACTTGGAAAAAATATATATAACTTATTTACAATATATTTGGATTTAAAAGCCATAAAATAAATTTTATAGGTTTTATTTTCTACATAAAACTGCAAAATTTTGAATAAAATAATAAAAATATTGTGTTGCTTGACTTTTTTAAAAATTTGACAAATACAAATACTTGTTATTCAATCCAAACAATTAAAAAGGCTTCCCTTTCTCTTTTATCTTTCTTCTCTTATTTCTACTTTTTTTTCAGATAAAATTGTAAAGCACATTACTTTCTGGCTAAGCAAGCATGATTCATCAGTTGTTACAAACTTACAAATTTTGCAACTTCTTTTTTTGGACTCGGAAGGGGTTAGAAGTTTAATTGAAAAATACGAGGCTATATGTGGATGTTTATTAACAACTTCCCCACAAATTAATGTATAGCCGAAGAAAAAAAAAACTTAGTCCATTAAATTAATGTCAACATAATGTATATACGAAGTAGGTCTTTTGATCATGGCAGTGTGCCCGTACTCTTACATTCGGATTCGAATCTCCCTTACTTTGATATGAAAACAACTGATTATGTATGTTGGTTTAATAGAGACTTACAGTTAAGTATGCTCCACACACAGATACAAACAGACTAAAAATCCACTCAACCAAACTGTTTTGGGCGTGGGAGAATTGTCATACTTGTTTTCTTTGGCCCACTTACAATTAAAAACCACAACAAAAGCAAGACACAACACAACACAGCCAAAAAGAGAAGCAAAGGCCCCAGCACAACAACAGTTAATATGGGACTCAGTGTGTAGCAGGCTCATCTTTGGACAAAAACACAAAGCAGATGAAGTGTTGTTTATGTACATTTTAGCATATAAAATCATAGGTCCTCCTCATAGTTATTCTCGTTGTCTTTGTTCTCTATGTAGCATGATTGGCATGAGGAGAAGGGCCCCAAAGATAAGGCTGATGAGCAAACGACAGGAAGATATAGAAATAAGATTTAATATTTTGGCTGTTAAACTTCTTTTAACGTTTTAATTATTCAACGTCGGCGTCGAAACTTTCAGATCATAACAGTATGATTAATCAGCTCTTAATCTTGTGCATGCATGGTATTTCTCTTACTAATGCCGGAAAGAGTTGCAAAGTTTGAATTGAATCTCCCGTTGACAAAAAAAAGAAAAGAGAGTATTCGAAAGAGTTCACGACTAACCATTACAGCGGCTAAGACAGACATAGGCACAATTCACAATCCAGTCACAATTCACTCGGTACATGAAAGCGAAGTGCAAAATAGGACTGGTGGAGACTGCATCAGGAATCAGGCACAGATCCATTATTGAACAAGTGCGAGCAGAAGAATATAGAATACTAAGCCTGCAGGCTGCAGCTGACAAACAGGACTGACCTGGTCCAACAGCAAAATAAGACCATGTGCAATAGGAGTTGACTTCAATAAGACAAAGGGCAAAACATATTATCATAATGTAGAACAAAATACAATAATTATAAGACGATAAATTGACACATGGTAAATAATTTGATGATTTATTATTAACTTTGAAAGGGGGAAAATTTACAGTTACAAGGATCATGAAATGTGTTTTCTGATACTCTCTTCCTACTGCTGAGACAAAATCAAAGGGAGCATAAAATTTGTCATTTCCTTGACGGTGTGATTTGCCATTCTACACCACAATGGCTTTTCTGGTAGTGTCATTTCTAAAGCCGCCATCTTTGACAGCAACCAGATACAGAGGACCGCTCCGCTCCCAGAAGAATTTGTCTTCCTAGCTTATTTCTGAAGCTGCAAGCTTCTTGAAAAAACTCACTTGCAGTGGAAGAAAAAGTCGATTGTCATGGTCTGAATTTCCTTTTACCTAAAATCAAATCATGAGACGAAACGACCTAATTGGATTATCATCACACTTGTATCATCCATGGAACCTCTCCCTATTGACAGATCAACAAGCTTCTTACAAGCAGAAAACAGCTCCGGCTTATCGGTACCAACGCATAAAGGGCGAACTACATCTACTGCTTCCTGATTGGTAACCTGTAAGAAATGAAAAGTTCATATTTAGATTCAAACAACTTTGATTGAAGTAATGATTCAAAAGAGAAGAAACATGAAGTGAGATTTGTTGTAAAGTTACCTTGTCCCAAAGACCATCAGAAGCTAACACTAAAAACTCGCATTGGGGGTTTATCCTTAAGATTGTAGTCTCTGGTTCTGCTATCACCCATTGCTTAAGTTGTCGATCTCCAATTGCTCTTGAAACAGCAAGAGAGCCCTGTATTCTCCAAACCCCACGGCAACAATCTACATAACCACCCTGCAACAGGAAAAATTGCAAAATCCAATAAGTGACAAGGTCCATTATGATCTTCCATTTCAATCTTTATTTAGGTGACAATATTAAATTCTCAAGCCCATATGCACAAATTTGAATGCTTACCGTTGTTTCAATCCTAGCTCTTTCGTCTATTCTAGAAGGATGATGATCAGATGTAAGGGCCTCTGCAACACCTCCTCGACTCATAACGGCACGACAGTCACCAGCATTTGAGACCACAAGGTTGCCCTTTTGCATTAGGGCAGTCACACAGCATGCACCACCCCCAACATTCTCCTTCAAAAAATCGATATCAGTGGTTAGATAACCATCTTTGACTGCTTCCACGATTTTCTCTTCACTTCCGCAGGTCAAACGATCCTTAATGTTTCTGTCCATGTTCTTGGCTGCAAATTCGGCTGCTTTTGCCCCTCCATGTCCGTCAAACACACCAAAGAAGGCCTGTCACCATAAAACACATAATCAGCACAAGTTCGCATAGCAAATTCAAAAGAATCCAAAACATAATTCCATATTTTTATGTTTCCCAAATTCTCTAAAACCCCAATTCTTGTTCTCTTAATCTCCATCACCATTTCTTTTCATTTATTTTTGCTTTCTTATTAGTATAATCGTATGGTGCTACGCCCAATTTCAGTACAAAAACAAAAAAGAATTAACTTTATGCTACCATCATTTTAAAAGCGGTCTCTTTGATTATTAATTATAATCAACTTGCTCTCAGCTTAAGCTCAATTCCCCACAAAATTTTGAAACAACCTTATCCAAGCTAAACAAAAAATTGAACTTGATGATACATATATCTTAATCTTTTGAAACCGCGGTAATAAGCAGAGAGCTTCAGCCCTTTCTGTTAAAGAAATTAATTTCCATTTCCACAATTTTCTCAGCAAACAAACATAATTTTGACAAAGCAAAAGAATTACCTGTCTCGAATCATCGCGAAGATCAACAACAGCTGAGTAGCGATCCTCCATGGGACCCCTTCTCCCTCGCTTACAATACACCGAGTAATCATCCTCTTCAACCTCCACCACGTCCACTCTCTCCGCTCCATCAGGCGACTCAACCTTGAAACTCAACGGCGCTACTGGAATATCAATCATCATCGGCCTTTTCCTCTTCAAAGCCAAACCCGAAGGCTCCGTCTTGCAGCCACTTATCTCGTGCCTCTGAAACCGAGACTCTAAAGGCGCTGTAGAAGACGAAGATCGTGACGGCGTAGGAGGCGGGCCATGGAGGACTCTAGGGGAAGAACATGAAGAAGGAGAAGATAAAGATGATGATCTGAAAAAGATGGAAGGAATTTTCGACGGTGAGAAAATCGGAGAGTTTGGCACCACCAAAGCGCAAGACATTTTGTTTCTCTTTGTATCCCTCCCTCTGTTTTTCTTTTTTGCCTCTTTGACTGTATTTCTCTTTGCTTCTCTTGTCTCTGGTTCTGAGTTTATTTCTGTATTTGGTCGATAGCGGAATTTGTATGCTATTTATAAACTATATGGAGGACGGACGAGGTCTTATATCAGTTATTTGAATTGACTTAAGATTGACGAAAAATAGTTGTTGCATCCGTCGCACCACGTAGTATTATCAAATTAAATATGTATAAAATTAAAATAAAATATATTTTATAGTAATAAATAATATACATCTTACAATTAATAACATCAGGCATGATCCGTAACGTTAAAAAGGTTTTCAAAATTGAGATTGAGTCAGACAGTGATGGAGGTGAGTGCATCACACGCTCTCCTCTTAGTAAGGGGCGTGCCTACCGTATCTCTAGAAATATCAAAATTAAACCAATGGAGAAATTTTCTTGTGGAGTGGGTGGTGCTTATTTTTGGACCAGTTTTGTTCAACGGTCAAACATGCCTTTTCGTCTGGTTCTTATTTGTAACACCCTGTCCATATTCGGCATCCCATCCTTTTCCTTTTTTCTTTTTCTTTACGAACGGAAATCTTGCAAAGAACAAAAAGAAAAATAGAATTGCACATGGCAGATTTTGATTGGCGGACGTCGGTGATCAGGGTTTTACGCAGCATCCCTGTTTCCAGCTACAGGCCATCTGTCTACAACTGCAGTCCACAGTCGGTGGCATGCGCGCCAATATTATAATGGACTCCCTTATAAATTATAAAATAAACTCAAGTTATACTTCTTATAAATTTTAATTAGTCTAAGGCTTCTATATTTTGAAGTGATATGGTTTATAAACAGAATTTTTCCGTAAAAGTTACACTAAAGTTCATACTATATATAAATATATTTACAGTCGATGTTTGCAATGCTAGAAGAAACCAACAAAGATGCAAAGACACAAATCGAGATTTGCTTTTTAATTATGTCCACAATAGATCGGCTTCTAATTTTATTTTATTTTATTTTTTCTAATATAAACGATAATTTAAACTATACTGGGATGAGGTTTGTCACACACACAGTATCGTGGTACTCTAAGAGATTCAAATATGACACCACTTATATGCAAGAATCCAACTATATTCCACTAGACTAGACCCGATTGACGCTTCTAATTCATTTTTAATCACATATGTTAATTAAGTCATATGAAATTAAAAAAAAGCTGCAACCGATCTCATTGTTTTTCTTTTGTTCTTTTAGTAGGGGTATGGAAAACGTTTGTGTGTTAAAGCCGTGGATTGACTTTTTGTCTTCTTTTGTGCATCAGAGAGTGTGGTTTGAGTTTGGACTTTGGACCAACTGCTACCTTTGATTGTTTGATCATATATTGCAAGCAAAACTTAGTCCAGTCATTCTCAAACCCTTAACGTGGATCATGAGTTTTAATTATGCATGAAAACAACGTTGTTCATGTGTTATACGAAGGGGAACAAATTTTATTTAACCAAATAATCACTTTATATATTAATTGTCTTTGTCCATAAACTGTAGCTTAAGTGGTAGTGTACGTGTTAAGTGGTCTCTTATATTCATCCACCAATCAGAAAGCAACACGGAGTATAATTAAACACATTAATTAAAACAGCGGCTGAAACACAGTAATACTTTTTTTTCCAATTTTGCGGCTGCTTTCACTCAGTACACACGTGTTACTCAGGCAAGGTTCCACACAGGATGGCGCATTACGTGTCTCTCCATGTAGGCCCTTTGCCCTACGTGTCAAGTATGTCTTTCCAACTATTGACTCCTCACGTACCACGTGTCATTCGATCCCGTGCCAAGCCGTTTGGTATATATATTTTCCACCTCTCTTCCGGCAGTTAGTAATACAAACTATGAGAACGCCGCCGTTCGTGATAAGTGTTTACCATCTGCGAAAAGTGGTTCCAGTAGTAAGAGAAGTGTCTTCGCAACAGGAAAGGGCTGAGCTTGACGCCAGGGCTAGGCAGGGCCAGACTGTGGTCCTTGGAGGAACTGGTGGCAAAACTCTAGAAGCCCAGGAACACCTTGCTGAAGGTGCGTAAATCTATATATACCTTTGTTGTTTTAACAAGAGCGATTTATAAACTATTCTAATGTCCGGAGAGTTAGTCCGAATTCATGTGCAAAAGGCGGGCATACTAACGCAAATATATACATGCACGCCTACATGTATGTTTGTGTGCTTTCCTTTTTCTGACTTCTTTGTCTGTATTTTGTGTTTTCGTTATTATTTTGGAATGATGGATGATATTAGGGAGGAGCAAAGGCGGGCAGACAAGGAAGAAGCAGATAGGGCATGAAGGGTACCAGGAGATGGGTCGCAAGGGCGGGCTTAGCACAACCGACGAGCCGGGAGGAGAACATGCGGCTCGGGAGGGAATTCCCATTGCTGAGTCTAAATACAAAACCAGATCAAGCTCGACATGATCAGTTCTACAGACCTAGAAGCTACAAGATGATATTTGTAATATATACAAGTGTAGTGTGCACGATAATAGTTGTACGTAGCAGATCTTAATACGGTGTGCATGAGAATAGTTCTGTGCATGAGAATAGTTCTACGTAGTAGAGCTTAACAGAGTGTGTGTCTAGGGTTTTATTGATTACTTTTTTGGGAGATTCACTATTATATCCAATATATGAGCTAAAATTATAAAAAAATCATTACATGAAATGGACTTTAGATACACACTCAAAGTCCATTTACAATATAACAAAACAAGCTATAAAAAAAAAGTCAAAATGAATTTGAGTTTTACTTTTTGGAATGGGCTTACGTGACCCATTGGGCTGCTATCTGAGGATGTGCTTTGTCTGGTTGTGGCTAATAGGCCCAGTATGCTGTTGTCAGAAAAAAAATAAGACACCGCGAAAGTCTAAATCCTCACTGGAACAAGCTAATCCACGCAACCAAACGCCTAAAAACTTTAGGGTTTAAAACTCACTCTCCCCAATTCCCACCCGTTGATTCACCAAACACAGCAAAACGAAAAGAAAAAAAGGGCGGGAGAGACAGTCTCTCACTCCACTGAGCTCCATTTTTCTCACTAAGAAATGTCGTCGTCCTTGGGCGTTCGTCACCTCACAGTGCTCGGCGAGTTCAAGCCCTTTGGCTTAATCGCCGAAGCCGTCGACGGAAAGCCTGCCGATAATGTCACCGATAAGTACGATTACTTCCTCTTCGACCCCGAAACCGTTCGAGAAAGAGACGAAACTGACGAAGCATCGGCCTCCGCGTTGAGCGATCGATGTGATCACGAGCTTTTCATCCGAGGAAATCGGTAATTTCTTGCAATTTTTTTCCATTTTCCGAAAATGTGGAATTATGAAATGACTTTATCCGTAATGTTTGTATCAGGATTATATGGTCAACAGGTCCACGAGTCTTTAAGAGGTTCACATTGCCGTCGCCAGTAATCATGGTATTCAAATTTGCTTGAATTTGCTACTTTAGAATGATATAATTTTATGTTGAGAACTATTTGTTTGTAAATTCCAGGCTTGCTGGTGTCGTTTGGGTGATATGACCGAAGCTCTTTTATGCGTTTTACAAATTGCTTCTTTAACAATCTACAACACATCAGGTGTGCAAAATTGATTGTAGATAAATTTCTGAAAAATTAAACAAAATCACCTTCCCATCCTCTTAAACTTAATTTTGATATAGTTTATATTTCTGATAAGAAACTTAATGGTAGATAAATTCCTGAAAAACTGAAGAAAAAAAAAATCGTTTGTGTTCTTTTTTGTTTAATAGGTGAAGTAGTCTCTGTCCCTCTTCCTCGCACCATCAAATCGATATGGCCTCTTCCATTTGGTTTGCTACTTCAGCACGCAGCCGAAGTTAATTCAACTGCACCTGCTCCTCCTTCATCGTCAAATCCTTTGTTTGGCCTACGAGATCTATCCCGTCCTAGGAGAGAAAGTGGACATAGTCCACAGCATAATGTCAATTCTGTAACTGCACTTGACCATATTGCCAAGGGAGAAGCAATTTCAATGTCCTCACATCTAATTCTGAAAGATCCATTGGAAGAACCTCATGTATGCCACTGGACTTTTTACTTAGCTTCCCTATTTTCTGTTTTCCCTTTTTCCTTTATGTATGTTTTTTTTAATCCTCAAAATATTTCAGTTGGCTTATATTGAAGAAAGAGGAAAATTGAACATAATGAAGGAATTTGATGAAACAACTATTTGGACGAGTGATCGGATTCCTCTTATGGCATCTTATAATACAGGTTTCTTAGATGTCTACATTACCGACTCCAATTTGATTTCCCCGTTATTGTATGTTGTGTTATGTTTATATAACGTTGTCACATTTTATGCAGGAAGGATGCAACACTCTGTGTGGGTTGCGGAAACTAGTAATTCTTCTAACCATGAAATGGCAGGTGCTAGTTTATTGGATGCAGTTCCTCCTGGTGTTCTAGCAAAACAGTTCTCATTCCGTAGAATATGGCAAGGCAAGGGTGCCCACACAGCAGCTTGTAAGGTGCCTCTTTTTTGTTATTATTTTATTTTAATTTTTGGGCTTGTACCTTACTTAAGTAAATGTGAGTTTCCCTTTTCTTCTGATTTTAACTGTAAAATGTATTCTAGGTTTTTCTAGCGACGGACGATGATGCAGCTCCTATTATTTGTTTTCTTCACCACGAACAAAAAAAGTTGCTGTGTGTAAGGCTTCAAAGTGTTGAGATAAATAATGAGATTCTCTTTGACATTAAACCTGATATGAGCTGGAGCATACCTGCAGTTGCAGCAGCACCTGTGATTGTTACCCGCCCTAGGTATGGTTGCATTTCATGTTTCATTTTCCTTTTGATTTTTATCTCAAGTCTGTTTGAAAATTTTATGGAATTGATTTTCTCCATTTACTTTTCCAGAGTGAAAGTGGGACTGCTGCCATATTCAGACATGCTTGTTTTGTCTCCGGAAAATGTCCTTCTTCTCTATGTAAGCTATACCAACTGGTAGCTTATATCCGTTGAGTTACTCATAGTTAATAATATTGTTGACACTCTCTGCAATAGTTCAATTAGTACCTGGAATTGGAATTGGAAATTACTTTCGATTCTTGTAGTAATGAATTGATCAATTGAGAAACTATAGTTTTTTTTATTTTTTTTCATTTTCATAGTTAATAATATTTTTTTTCTTATTGTATGAGTGTAACATTTTGTGCAATCAACTTTTTCTGTTTTTGCAGTCAGGGAAGCACTGCCTATGTAGGTATATGTTGCCTTGTTCATTGAGTAAAGGCCGATTTTCACATAAGTTAGAGTTTCCAGAAACAACATCTGTTTCCCAGGGCCTGAAGATTATAGGATTGGCTGATGCTGTTGAGGGGCGTATCAATGTTACAGTAAATAATGGGCAGGTAATGTGGCTTGCATGTTTATTGTTGTCATCCCTTCTTGATTTCCTATGTTTGTTGTTTAAAGTCAAACTGCCGTCCATATGTTTCAATGTAACATGTACTAGTCATTTTCGATATTTGTAGTGACTGCTGATGTCTTTATCAATTTGAGTTACTTGCTATGAAAGCTTTTTTTTTTTATGGACTTGTTTATTCATTGTTGTCCAGATGTTTCGGTGTGTATTACGTAGAAGCCCTGCATCTTCCCTGGCAAATGATTGCATCACAGCTATGGCTGAGGGACTAAGTTCCAATTTCTACAGCCATTTTCTTAGTCTGCTTTGGAAAGATGGTGACTTGGCTTATCTATCAGAAGCTGATTCTAGTGTTCCCTCAGAATGGGACTCTTTTTGTAGCATTATGATGGAAATTTGTGGATCAAGCGCCACTTCTAAAAAGATTTCAAGTCCAATGCCTCAGTCGTCATGGGAGTTTCTTATTCACAGTAAATTTCACAACAATTACTGCAAACATAACCTTATTACTCAAAATTCTTCTGTCATGTCATTGGATGTGCAAAGACTGGACTCCTCTTGGTTAAATTCAGATGGTACACAAAGGCCAGAAAGAACATTTTACTATGAGCTGTTGATGGAGAGTTTACATTGTTTGCATGCAGTATATGAGAACCTGAAACTGAATAGTCTTCGCAAAAGGTGCGTCTTGTTATCTTTTAATCTTCTTGCTTTTTTCTTTTTTTCAGTGGCATGCTATATTGCATGCACGTGAGATGTAGTGATTCGTGCCAATTGAGTGACTTGGGTGAACCTTTATAAAGTTTTTTGGAAATCGATAGTATAGGTGGAGTGCCTCTTTTGATGTTTTACCTATTTAAGGCGCTTCTTTTATGCTTGCCATGCTAAGTGCAGGACCATTAACATTTTCAGCACTAAAATAAAAGGTTAGGGGTGTTTCAGTTCGCCAATTGTTTACTGGAGAGTTGCATGAGACATGAACTGCTATTGATTCTTCATCTGTTCCTATGGGCATTTCATGTTGAGCTCTTTAACTTTAATTAAACTACAACCTGTCAGGGTGTGTAACCTGGCAAACACATCTTATTGACTTGTGTGTGTGCATGTGTGGTTTTTGTTATTATTTAATTTGTAAATTTGCCTTAAACTGTACTATAATTGCTTTTTAGGGACTTGGAGCTTCTAGGATTCCTATCATGCTATATTGCTAAGTTTTTGGGGGAGGAAAGTTATGTGGACCATTACATTCGTGACTTTCCTGGCCTTTCTGGAAGTGTTGGGATATGTGATACCTCCATTTCACAGGAAAATCCTCCAAGTTTATTCAGATGGCTTGAAAACTGTTTGCTACATGGATATAATTCAGCTAATATCAATGATCTTCCGCCATTGATTTGTAAAGATGGAAGTTCTGTTGTAAGCTGGGCCCGGAAAATAGTCTCATTTTATAGTTTGTTATCTGGTGCTAAACATATAGGGAAGAAACTCTCATCTGGTGTTTACTGCAATATTGCCACGGGATCATACGACACAAACGAGGAACTCACAGTACTGGCAATGGTTGGGGAAAAGTTTGGATTGCAACAGCTTGACTCACTGCCTTCTGGTGTGTCTCTTCCTTTGCGACACGTAAGTAATGCTACATCCATGTAGTTAAGTGTCACTTATTGAAACCACGGAGATCCTAGAATGTTTTGGAAAAAAAGAGAGGACAATTTGCTGTTGTTTTCTTTTACTTTTCTGTGGAAGAAGGGAGTTTTACTTTTGTTTATTTCTGTGTCAGTATTGTAATATTAGTGAGTCTCCTTGTTGCTTTCCTTGTTGTCAAATTTTTTGTATTTTTAACTTTCCATAATCAACAGAATCCTTTATTTCTGTGTTCTATAGGCACTGGGTAAGTGCAGGGAATCTCCTCCGATTGGTTGGCCTGCAGCTGCATATGTTCTTCTTGGTCGGGAAGATTTGGCTTTGTCATATCTGGCACGATCATGCAAATCTAAGGAACTGGAAACCCAAACTAATGTGAATTTAATTTCTATGTCTGCACCTTACATGCTACATCTGCATCCAGTCACCATTCCTTCTGCAGTATCTGATACAATCGGATTTGATAATACCAAGTTTGAGGATGCAGATTCTGCTGATGGGTCTATGACAGATGGTATGGAACATATCTTCAACTCTAGTACACAGTTGCGCTATGGTCGTGATTTGCGACTGAATGAGGTGAATTTTAGTTCTCCTTACCTTAGTTTTCCCTTTAACATGCTATCACTTGGCCTGCATTATTGTGTTGGAGTGGTTGCTCTTTCGTTTATAGTAATTATTGTAATGCATGTGTACTTGTTAGATTTGCTTGTTCTTGTTATGGGTCTTCTAAAGTATCTTCTGAATAGAACTGTACTATACGTGTCTGAAAGAAACTTTTGCTTCCACCAGGTTAGACGGCTCCTGTGCTCTGCAAGACCTGTGGCAATTCAAACATCTGTTAATCCTAGTGCCTCTGATCAGGACCTCCAACAGGTACACCTTATTAGTTATCCATTACTTTTTTTGAACTTTTAGGCATCAACTGTAAACTACTTTGAGGCTGACGTAACTTGACCAACCATTTGTCTAATGGCATCTGTCTCTTTTGGCTTGTATTAAAAGAATGCTGTTAACATAATAAAACTGTTAAGAGTTAATGAACTTTAATCTATCTAATTTGAGTCTTCTTGAGTTTTTCCCCGACCTTGTTTTGCTCTGAAGTGCTGCTGTATCATATCTGTTTATCCAACAAAGGTATCTGCCATGATTTGTGTTGATCATATTCGTTGCGTTGGCAAGTTGAACATGGTTAGATTCAGCTTTTTCATAGTTAAAATATTTGGAAATAAAAAGGTGAAAAAAGGCCAAGTACTTCAGAGATTCTGCATCTGTTTCTGCAGGCCTGTGTGTTGTTTGTGTAGTGATGATGATTTCTTGACTTCTTGTGATGTGTGTTGCGACTTCAGGTGTATTTTTAATTGCTTGTAATAAGCTTAAAAGTATACTTAGTTTATCAGTTCTTTTTCCCCCTTGATTAGTACACGGTCAGTTATTTAATTAAAATTAAAAGAGCTTTGTGATTTTTTTGGTCATCCATTTTACAAACTCATCGTGGCAGATTAAAGGATTGAACGACAATTATTGCATTTGTGAATCATGAAAGCTTTGATATCCCTATTGTTTCCTGCTCAGTGGACATACAATTTTTTTTAATGCCATCTCTGCATTTTCTTGCTGTTCTTCTTTTGTTGTAAAGGTCCAGCTATGGCACCTTGCACAAAGGACCACTGCCCTTCCTTTCGGTCGTGGGGCATTCACTCTTGCAACCATATATACACTTCTGACAGAGGTACCTCTGTTTTTTGTCTGTGTGTTTCTGTTACATCGAATGCTTAAAGTGCACTAACAGATTCTTCTCCCCAACTCCACATTTTCTAGGCCTTTGTAGTCCCAAAGCTTGTTTTAGCAGGTCGGTTGCCTGCCCAGCAAAATGCAACTGTATGTTCAGATTTTCTTTCTTAGCAATGTTGTGTTTATTTACCTCCTGTAAGGCGAGGCGTTTTACATAATGTTTCTCTACGAAAGGTTAATCTGGATCCAAATGTGAGGAATATACAAGAAATCAAATCTTGGCCTGAATTCAACAATGCTGTTGCTGCTGGACTAAGGCTGGCTCCTCTTCAGGTTCTCTCTCCCCTGCTCTCTCTTATCTAAATGGTTTTTGTTAGATCTAAATTTAATAGCACTCATATTATCCTGATTTCTGTATTATGACTTCCATTTTTAATTACCTTTTTTGGTGAGTTATTTGTTTATGTATTGCTTTACCTTGAAATTGTACATAGATATGTGCCTTCATGTTTATGTTTACTATATTGAATTTATTTTCATGCTTCTGTTCATTTCCCCAACATATGTTATATATGTTGTTTTAATATTTATGTGATCTTTCTTGAGTTTTGTGTCTTGTTTTGGCTTTTCATTCCAGGGAAAAATGTCAAGAATGTGGATTATATATAACAAACCAGAGGAGCCAAATGCTATCCATGCTGGACTTATCCTTGCGCTAGGATTACATGGTTATCTGCGTGTCTTAACTATTACGGACATATATCAGTATCTTTATCAGGTGTTGTATTGCACGACTTTCAGTTCTTTATTATCTTCATTTTCAATGCCTTTCAGTTCCTTGAATTGCTGTTTACCTGCTTTTGGTACGTCTTGATTAAAACCTGCTTAATTTAAAACATTTTAGACTCAGTAAATTTTTTTCTACTCAAATTTCTTTTCAACTCTTGTGAATTAAAGTAGTAGAGGTATCATATTGATGGTTCTTACCTGGAATTGTTTGACTTATGGGGGCTTCACTAGATTTGTTTAGAGGCTTTATATAACTTTTTATGCTGGGAAATTTTCAACTGAGAAAGAGAAGTTGATTGCCTAGCCTTTTGTTCCTTGTTGATTGCCATCATCATTGACATCATCATCATCATTTTCTTTTTCTTCTGCATTTAGTTCTCCAGTTATTGTCTGATTTGCTTACTTGACACTTCAATTTCTTAGGAACATGAAATCACAACTGTTGGCATGATGCTTGGCCTGGCAGCTTCTTATAGAGGGACTATGCAACCAGCAATATCAAAGGTAATGACATATGCCCTTTAAGCACCGGGTGCAACTTATGTTGCTTTTTCAGTTGAAAATTAAAGTAATATAGTGCCTATGCTGTGTGTGGTGTAACCTTATCTTATTACAATTTCATGACAGTGTCTTTATGTTCATATACCTGCTCGAAATCCGCCTTCATTTGAAGTAGAGTTACAGACCCTTGTGCAGGTATCCATCGTGCTATTGTTATTATATTACTCTTGCTACTGGCAAACTTGCATTTCTGCATGCATCTCTGTTACCTCTTTCTCTTGTGCTAGTGTATAATGCTACTGGAATTACTAATTTAATTTTCCTCAACTTTCCGGCTAGTTTTGCATAATGAAGCACTTGATGCTTTGTTTACTAGCATGCCACCTTCATCCTTTTTATTTTTTTTCTTGTTGTAACAGTCAGCAGGTCTAATGTCAGTTGGGCTCCTTTATGAAGGATCAGCACACCCACAAACAATGCAGATTCTCTTGGTTTGCCCTGTTTTTTTTGTTGCTCCACTAGTTTGCACATTTTCTATTACTTAGTAACCTAGTGAATGCATGGTTTGTGTTACAAGATGCATTCATCCTTTGCATGAGATACTATGCCATTTTGTTTTATTCTCTTTAGTGGGTGATTGATGTTAATTGCGCTTTAATCTTATCTTGTTCATAAGATGCCTTGTATCTAACCTTGTATGTTATATGCTCCATTTTAACAGATTGAAATAGGACGTAGAAGTGCAGGGGATAATGTACTTGAAAGGGAGGGTTATGCTGTTTCTGCAGGCTTTGCATTGGGTCTTGTTGCATTGGGTATGAACAGTTATATGCTTATTTCAATTGTGTTGAGATGTGGTCATAACTCTGGATTTTTAATGAAGGTCGTGGAGAAGATGCTCTTGGTTTCATGGACACAATGGTTGATAAATTGTTCCATTATATTGGTGGAAAAGAAGTTTACAATGTATGCTGTTGAATCCATAATTCTTTCATTGCTCTGTGTTATTTTTCAGTTGTGTATAATCTGTACACCAAATGTCTTGCACAAGAATTGCGTCCTACCATTTATTCAATTTGTGGTTATTCTAACATGAAAGTTAACTGTTGATCTGCATCAGGATAGATCCAATTCATCAAAACTATCAGCAGATGAACACAACCGTGCTGCTGCACAGGTTTGAATTTTTCACACTAGCTTTTGTAACCTTTCAATTGCATAACAGTCTTTAGTTTAACCCACTTCTGTGCTGTATTTTTTTGGCAGCTTTTGATATGGACATGTTTTACCCCGTGTTAATATTGTCTTGTAGATGATGGATGGAACTGCAGTAAATGTTGATGCCACTGCACCTGGAGCCACGATTGCTCTTGCTTTAATGTTTTTGAAGGTAATTTCCAGTAAAGATTATACAGATTTGAACAATATATTTCCACTAGCTTATCTGTCTGCATGAAGATTTTCTCATGTAGCTCTTTGTAACAGACTGAATCACAGGCAATTGTGTCTAAGCTCTCTATCCCTCACACACGGTTTGAGTTGCAATATGTGAGGCCTGATTTCATCATGCTTCGTGTCATTGCCCGAAATCTAATAATGTGGAGCAGGTAGTGGGTCTTTCAATAATCTATATAGCTACTTTTCATACATAGTTTGACAATGTTTTATTGTAGGGTTCATCCTTCCCAAGATTGGATACAGTCTCAGATTCCTGATATTGTAAAAAATGGTGTCAATTGCCTTGGGGATGACACTGATGATATTGATGAAATGGATGCTGAAGCATTTGTGCAGGCATATGTCAATATAGTGGCTGGAGCCTGCATTTCTCTTGGTAAGATGTGATTTTAATTTTTTTTATATTGATTTAATGAGAATGGCATTTACTTATGTAGTTGTATCTGACTTGGAGGATATTGATGCAATTTTCATTTTCATTTAATTTCATTAGATATAGTGCTTTTTCTTTGGCAAGCTATAAAGGATATGCCTCCTGCAGTTTTCTGTTCTAATTGTTCAATTATATGATATTTGAGCATATTTAGTTGTATGGTATGAATAGCTGTTTTATTTGGTTACAAACAAAATGATTCTAATGTTTTTTAATAGTTTATTTGTGTTTCGATAAACATGCAAAACTTTAGTAGAAGTTAGACATAAACTTGCTATGTTACTTTTACCTTGAAATCCATTATCTTTTATAAAGGATATGCCTCCTGCAGTTTTCTGTTCTAATTGTTCAATTATATGATATTTGAGCATATTTAGTTGTATGGTATGAATAGCTGTTTTATTTGGTTACAAACAAAATGATTCTAATGTTTTTTAATAGTTTATTTGTGTTTCGATAAACATGCAAAACTTTAGTAGAAGTTAGACATAAACTCGCTATGTTACTTTTACCTTGAAATCCATTATCTTTTATCACGGGCAGGGTTGAGATTCGCTGGTACAAAGAATGGAAATGCTCAGGAGTTACTTTACAACTATGCTGTTTACTTTCTAAATGAGGTCAGACAGTTGGCATGATGTTTCTTAACTTGTAATCATCCATCCATTAGTAGTAAATAATTTATTTTTAGTGTTTGCAGATCAAGCCAGTTGCTGCTACAAGTGGAACCTTCCCAAGGGGATTGTCTCACTATGTCGATCGGGGCACATTGGAGATATGCCTTCATCTTATTGTTCTTTCCCTGTCTGTGGTAATCTTTTCATTCTTCTTTTGTTTTGCTTTCTCTTCTAATATTTTCTGTTATTAATGCCGTCAAGTGTTTGGTGCTAATTCTCTGAGAGAGCAGGTTATGGCTGGTTCTGGACATTTACAAACCTTTAAGCTCTTGAGATTTCTCCGGAACAGAAATTCTGCGGATGGACATGTTAATTATGGTGTTCAGATGGCGGTAAGTCTTCCACTGCTTATTGTCTGATCTCATATTTCTTATACAAATGTTCATTCTTTTGCTTGAAATTTTTTTGACGGCATACCCATTATTGGGCTTGTTGACAAGAAAATCACTGCTCCCCTTGAACATGTGAGTATATGCAAATCTTTATGTGGACAACATTGTGATATTAGCTGCAAATGCTTAAATTTTAAGCTGTTGTTTGTTGGTGGTGTGTTTTGGGAGATATACACAATGCAAAAAGATGTGGGATTCATTGCCCATTCTGCTTCATCCATGCATTCCATCATGTTTACACTGTTGTAATGCCCTTCCAAATGCTGCAGAGTTCATTTACGCAGGAGCTGCTGAGGATTTTATTTTACTTGTGTTTATAATTTTTTCCATAATCATGTTATCAAAAAACATAGTTTGATAAGAAAAGGTGGTTGGTTTTCTCTGAGTCTCATGTAATGTGCAAGAGATGTTTAGCATTTCTATGAAGAATCCTCAATATAAAAATAATGTGAAATGCTTTGAAAGCTCCATCCTCTAAGTCACATTTGACTTTCTACATGATGTACTTTGAGATGAGATGAGATGAGCATTCCTGGGGTTTTTTTTTCTCAAATGAATGGCAGTGGCACTATGTTTGCAATTATACATTTATAATTTGAAAGTCAATTATGTTGAAAGGACTGTATTCTGTTCCAATTTAAATTTTGTTGCATTTGTAACTCTGGTGACTCTAGGTAAGCCTAGCTATTGGGTTCTTGTTCCTTGGGGGAGGAACGCAGACATTTTCAACAAGCAACAGTTCAGTTGCTGCTTTGCTGATTACTCTCTATCCACGTTTGCCTACTGGACCAAATGATAATCGATGCCACCTCCAGGTACAGTAAAATTCAGTGAAGTTTAAAAGGTTTTCTCAGGCATTACATACATCAATAATTGGGTTTGAAAAATTCATTCAATTGTTATTATATAATATCAGTGGACCAATAAGCAATATTAGTTATTGTGGTACATTGGACAGCTACTGAAATTTGAAGAACTGTCCTTATTTGGATTTTGAATAAAAATGGCCATAAGGAAAAACATTTGATATTTATATATATATATATATATATATATATATATTTCAGTCAGGTGACTTTGATGTCATGCCAATAGAGAGGGATTGCTTCTTCCCCCCATAATATCTGGTTGCTGTTTATTAGTATCATGATTTTATGAAGTGTATTTTCAGGCATTCCGGCACTTGTATGTACTTGCAACGGAAGCTCGTTGGATTCAGACGGTTGATGTTGACACCGGTCTACCTGTGTATGCCCCTCTTGAAGTTACTATAAGGGAAACTGAACATTATGCAGAAACAAGTTTTTGTGAGGTTACACCTTGTCTTCTGCCAGAACGTGCCATTGTAAGTTTTAACAGTTAAGAATAAAGTCAATTCTTTATCTTCCTTCTCTCTCCCCATATAATTGAAGTGAGTATGAGACATATACTTGGGAAAATTTGCTGCTAGCTCTGCATGGAAATTTTCGTCCTCTTGGATTTTCAAGAAAAATATTTGAAGAAATTGTTATATAAAATATTTTAGTTTTTTTACCATGACAATTTTTTACTGGAGCTTTTATGGACCGCCAAATGCAATATATTTATATGCAGATTTTATGTTCCTGTGTGACTTTACGTAATTAATTACCTTGGAAATAAATCTGTCGGCTCTTTTATATATGTTTAAAAAAAAAAAAATTTTAAACTTAGAGCTTTGGGGTTGATGGGTTATTTGATTTTCTGCTGTTTGCAGCTGAAGGCAATACGCATTTGTGGCCCTCGGTATTGGCCGCAAGTAATAGATCTAGTCCCTGAAGGTATGCACTTGTTGCTGCTTGTTTTTGCTAATGTATGCTACTTCCGATAATTTGATTACTTTTAATAGTCAAACAAAAACTTTATTTTTGTTATTTCAAGGCTCTGCAATGTTTAGCTGCGTTCCATGTTTTGTTAAACAGATAAACCTTGGTGGACCCCTGGGGACAAGAATAGCCCATTTAATTCTGGTGTTTTGTATATCAAGAGAAAAGTTGGAGCTTGTTCCTATATTGATGATCCTATAGGGTGTCAGTCACTGCTGTCACGGGCAATGCATAAGGTTAAAAATTCTCTACCACTGGTAAATATGTTTGAGATCTGTCTTGGATGATACTGTGGATACCAAATTGTTCTTTGTCCAGGTGTTTGGTTTGACAAGTTTAAAAGCACGCGATTCATGCTCCACTGGGGACAATGGACCTGGTTCTGTTACTGTTGACCAGTTGGTTGCTACCTTCTCATCTGATCCTAGCTTAATTGCTTTTGCACAACTCTGCTGCGACCCTTCATGGAAGAGCAGGTAAGTATGCAGATTTTTTTTCTTCTTTCTTTTTTCCAGTTTTTAGCTTCACATTTTGCTACCTTCTGTTTCTTTTCTTTTCCATTCTCTCAAATAACCAGTCTTAAAATATATATGCAGATCTGACATTGATTTCCAGGAGTTTTGCTTGCAAGTATTATTCGAGTGTGTGAGCAAGGACAGACCTGCTCTTTTACAGGTAACCATAAAATATGCAAGGATGAGCTTATTTTTCTGTCTTGTCAATTTAAATGAACCTTGAATTACCGAGTTAGTTCTTCCAGTATGGTTGGATGCCAAAAGGGCTGTTATTTGCTTGTACCTGCAGAGAGGTATAGATTGACATTATTTAGATGGGACACATTCAAATGCAACCTGACTTTTGCTTTTCATTTTATTCAATGTCAAGTGGATTATGCTTTTCATTTTAATTAATGCTTATTAGATGCTCCATTTCTTATTGCGACCTTCTTATAATGAACTCGATGTGATCTCCTGAAAATTATGCAGGTCTATTTGTCATTATACACGGCAATTGGATCAATGGCAAGGCAACTTAGCAGTGATTCTGTTGTTTTATGTGACTCACTCGCTATCTCTAATCTTAAGGTGGCATTCTATAGACATTTAAATTCTTCCGACTTATACCTTACATTGCAATGATTCAAAATTGTTTTAATTATGTAGAGTTGAACATTGGTATTATTTTGATGGTGCCCGAGTGAAACTTCGATTACAAAGCCATTTCATAAGGATGATATTTTAAGCCACTTTAGACCAATATGATCACTGATTGAATTAGGATGAGTTGAATATGCAATTTGGATATTAACCAAAGAAAGAAAGAAAGAAAAACAAGTTAAATGTGCAATTGATTAAAATCACATCGATTTTTTTTTCTTTTGTTAATCAATTTTTGTTTTGTCAATGACATAACTTGTTGCACTGTATTTTTTCATCTACCCCCTTCTGCTTGCAGCTTGCACTAGCATACAATGAGGCTTTGCTGAGCGGAAGATTGACCTCTTCAAGAGGTGGCAATGTTCAATCTAACTTTATAGCATGTCTTAGGAAGCAGGTGGAAGAGCTCCTAAACTGTTCTCAGGACTTGAAGGATGATTTCTGTAATTATGTGCATTCCGGGAGGTGGCCGAACGGGGAATCACAGGGAGATAAACGGCGACTACTCCTTTCTTGGTACGTTCAGTGGTTTGGTGTACCGTCTCCATCCGTAATTAAGGTGGCCGTGGAGAAAGTCAAGCCCAAGCTGAAGTCGTCATCTTTGGTCCCTTTATTGCATTTACTATTTCCGAGAACCCACATCAATGCCATTACTGAGATAGATAAGTTATTTTCATCTTAGGGCAGCCGATGAGGCATGGATGGTACAGACCATTTGTTACAGAATGTTCATCTCCAGACTCTTGGTATGGTCTTGTTCTGTGCTTCCCACTCGAGTAATACTAAATATCGTGGAGCAAATCACATTCATCTGCAAGGCATCGACCCCATCTGTTAACATGGACGGATACAATATCCCCTATCTACATGTATATGTAAAATGACACAATTAAATGTGAAATTTATTTATCTTAGTAGTATCATCTCTCAATCATTGGTTTCAAGATTCGAAATGTCCGATTGTAGATGTGTGAAATTTATTTATTTATTTATTTATTTATAAAAAGATGAGTGAGAAAAGCAAAGAGGGGTTATGAAAACAAAAATTGAAAAATTAACTTAGAATTCTCTTTGCATACTTCACTTATCCTATGCACTAATTGCATCACTTTGAACTCTATCATCATCTTAGGAAAAAAAATCGATAAGCACTTAAATTTCGTTTTATTTTAACCTCTATGTTTAAGCCATTAAAATGATTTTAAACTACTGTAATAAAATGGCATATATACGCATAAACCCCTACTTTTCCATGGAATCTTTAAATAATAAAAAAATCATTTCTCCAATTAATTCATAAACAATTCTCTTCATATGGTGTGCATCACAAGAAACCAATAGGAAAAATTATGCGCGGGCAAGTATTTGGTAAACGGTAAATGTCTCCTTGTTAAGATGGCATGCTCTGCTAAGATCTATGATGTTCTATTTGCTTGGGAAGTAAAATTGTTATGAAATGTAAGAACTAAGCAAAAACCAACGGTGAATTCCCCTGTTATTTGTCAAAGCTGCCCTCAAACAGCTCCATCATAAGTTTTGCCTAATTAACACAATTATGCAGTGGTATTGGTTTAAAAAATAAATAAACATAAATACACTAAAAAGAAAAGGAGTTAATAAACATGTGAAGTAATGTTTTGCATTTTCTTTATTTTTCTTTCGAATATGAATTATACAATTCAGGTGGCGTTTCAGCCTTAGCAAATTGTGAGACTTGGCAGAACAGTAGCATTCACCTCAGTCAGATTTGGTTGAAAAATGAACCAAAAAAGAAGAAGAAAAAAAGGTTGAACCCTAAAATTCAAGCTATACGAAATTAAAAGAAGAAACTGAGGAGAAATTACATGAACTGGACCCAAAATTAAAACAAAAAATTACAAGACAAGTATGAATTTTTCCTATGTGTCAAGAGCGGGAAATGATACGTGTGTAGAGAAACTCGTTCCACGTGTCGGGCAACCCAGGAAGGCACCAATGGATGCAATCTGCATAAGTTTCTGGGTCTGCTTGCTGCTCTGGTGTTAACATTTTGCCTTGTCTGATTGTATGGACTGAGGTATGTGCATCTTTGCGAAACTCAGAGAGGGTTGTGATGTTAAGAAAGTAAACAGGCACTTTCATTGATCGAGTTATGTTGCTTGAAATCACAAACAGCCTGCGATCTGTGCCCACCTCCAATGGAGTTGTTGCGTTCAAAACTGGTGTCGTCTCTTTTGCACATTTTATGCCATCTGGGTTGTCCCAATCCAAACTCCTGTTACATTTCATTTCATGCACAATATAAGTTAATTATGTCAATAATGTTCAATGTAGCACAACAACTAAACATTCGACTGACACTGGCACAATAACTCGTGTAACACGCATGTAATGTTCATTATGTCAATAATATTATGTGGAAAACGCTATTGTGTGAGCTTGCTTTGATTGTTTGTCGTTGCATCACGAGCTAATGTTCGACTGACTCTAGCACAACTACTCGTATAACATGTATTTATATACAATGATTGTTATTTGGAAATATGTAGTGGTTAACCAACCAAAACCAAAACCATAAATTAGGGTCTAATCAAAGGTTTTGGGGATTCATACACCCACTATCAACCACCAAAGCTCATGCTCACCTAATGGGGGTATTATTATATTCTTGTTTCCCTTTCACATAACCTCTGGACAATTAGAAAAAGTAATGTTAGCTGAGCTATAAATGCACTTTCTGAACGAATACTTGGCCCAGGACTAAGACTTGCCTCACAAATTCACAATGAATTGATTGAAAGCAGAGTTGGGTAAATTGAAATTTACAATCGGGTAAAGTTACATTAAAAAGTTGGCACTAAAGCGCTAATCTTTGTTTAAATCTAAAACCATTACAAATTAGTTAATTAGGGCCCTAATCAAGAATCACCAAACTAAGATTCTTGAGCGCCCATGTGGTGAACACACTTACAGTTGTTTCTTGGTATTATCTTACCAGGGAGACAAATGACTTTGATTATATAAATCTCTTGTAAATGCAGAGAATATTAATTCGTAATTATTATCGATGCTTTTGTTTTACGTTTTCTTTTTTTTAATAAAAATGCAAATATTTTGGCAAAACTGTTTCCACATTTTGAAGCATAAGAAAATAATATAGTAAAGGAGTGTGACAATTACTTGATGTGGAGAGGAGACATGCTGGTGAAGAAGACAGTGGTCCGATTAGGGTCAATGTTCTTGTCCACCCATTTAGCCCATGTCTTCATAACCTTCCGATACGCTACAGGCCGTTCGATCTCATCAAACTCCGTGGCCCCTTGATCGAACGATCCTCGTCTTTTGTCATTAAAAAACAACAAATAAAATTAACATTATTAATTTGGAGGCAGAATTTATTTATATTTTTTGAGGTGATTAAATGAGCTACTTACAGAACTTTCATTTTGAAAGTGTTCATCCACCAAATGTATGTGTTGAAGATGAGGAAATCCACACCCTTCCAGTTTTCTCCATGCTTCTTGATAGATTTGGGCATGATTATACGATTCAATATGCTGTGCATTGTGGGATCATCTGAATTCGACTCCACCAGAAATGGAGCCCAGTAGAACTCCACTGTAGCATTATAGTCCTATAACCACATAAACAAATAAACTTTTTATAAATAAAAAGAAGAAAAAAACAACAAAACATCATAATCCTGTTTCAGAAATATGTGTCTGCTGCTCATAAATATGCCAATTCTTAACCACTAGAGCTGTTGGCTTGCTGGAATGCCAGACAGACTTACATGCATGAAACAAAAATAATTGTTCTTTTTCTACAAAGCTAAGGTGGGCCATGTGTAAATAACTTTCTGCTTGAGTAAATTAAGAGAACGGGAAGAAAAAAAAGGGTAAAGAAGAAGAAGATTTTATGCACCTCAATTCTGAAAACAGAGAGAGAGCCATTCTTTGTCAAGTTCTTTCTGCCTGGAGGAATGATAGACTGAGCAAAACATATCATGGATTCCCACTGGTTTCTGTTCAATGAGTCTCCAACAAACATGAGCCTCTTGTTTCTCAATTTCTCCAGCAACAGCCTTGCATTGAACCTTAAGCACACAACAATCATCATCATTAAACCCAGAAATTAAAATTAAAATCAAAATTAATGTGAAAAGATGGAATCAGAGAATCAAAGGCATGTATGCTTACTTTGGAAGATTACAATCTCTGGGCTGCCATCTCCAATGTTGGTACAGAGAGTCCTTTCTTCCATTTCTCATGCAAGTCACTTGCGCTGTGAGAAACTCGCATTCATCTTCTTTGTACAAAGGGTGGGTGACAGGATCGAAAACCCAGTCTCCATTAAACAAATCACAGTCTTCTGGAGGCAATTCAATCTCTTCCTCTTCTTCCTCTTCCTCTGGTTGTTGAGAACCCAACAATTCAATCTTCTGCTCATCGTCTTTTTCCGTGATGGATTTCAGATCAACCGGTTCTTGGGTTTCCTCGGAGCTATTCTCCAACTGGGTTTCTTCCAATTGAGCTCTTGAACTCAGTGAAACCCTGTGTTGGATTTCGCTCGGTTTGGTTTCTTGAACAGAGTCACTCTGTTTGGTCTCTTGAACAGGGGTGTTCTCTTTTGTTTCTTGAACAGGGATGCTCTGTTTTGATTCTTGAACAGGGTTGCTCTCTTTTGACTCATCTTCTTGGAGCTCCTGAGCCTTAGGCGTTGAGAATGGAAATTCGGCAATGGACTTCACATCTTCATTGTACATGAAGATCCCAAAGAGGAATATTGAGAAGACCACCACGAATATGGGGAGGTTGTTGTTCTTGCGTGCCTTCATTGACACAGATTCAAGGGGAAATGCCGTTTTTCTGCGAGGTAGCTGCATGAGAGAGAGAGAGTGGAGAAGAAGAGGTAGTGAGAGATGGAGTGGGAGAGGGAGAAAGAAGGAAATATAAGAAAGAAATGAACAACATGAAGTTAAGTTTAAGTGGATTTGCTGATTTAGTATTATTAGGTTAAGTTTGTTTAATTGGGTGTTCGGTGAAATGGGGTTATCTTGAAGAAATGGCTTTGGCTTTTGGTGGAGGGAGAATTGTCTTTCTCAGTTGCTGCTTGCTTATTTCTATTATAAGCCATGGCTAACTAATTCCTTCAACTTGGCCCAAAGAGAGAGAGAGAGAGAGAGAGAGAGAGACAGAGAGACAGAGAGACAGAAGTAATTTCAAAGCTTTGCCAAGTTGGTCTTAGTCTCAGTTAGATGAGAATGATCAGCAGGTTGTGGTGATGATATGGAATTAAGCACTCAACACAAAGGCAGGCAGTCTGTTTTTGTCTGTGGATTTTGATGGGGAAGCTTCAACAGTCATATACAGTTCTTAAAAAGTTCAAATTTCTATGAAGTCAAAAAGGCTAATAATAAATAGTTTGGTCAACACTGTTGGAGGATGGATAGTTTCAATCAGATGGCCATGGATATAGATTTATGAGCATTGTCCATTTTCATCCTTCACCTTTCACTAATTCATGTCCACAAAACTATGATTTTGTGTTGAAACAGTGCTTGAAATTCTTCTTAGGAGTGATGAACTTTGGCCATAATGTGCTTTGCCTTTTTGGATTGAGCCTGTGCTGGCTATTATTAAATCCATTCATGCATGTAACTCCTGTTTGTCACTGTATATAACCACTTTCTCCCAAATAATAATATATAACTCTCAACCTATTATGCCATGGGTAAGGAAGTAGAGGGTATAGGAAATAATAAGGGAGTTTCACTAAAACACCTAAAATGGGGTCTGAAATTATAAAAAAACCCAACACCCAAAACACTTTATAAACACACCCAAAACCCATCATTACACACACTCAAAACCCATTTATAAACACACCCAAAAAATATACAATTGTTGATTTTGAGGTTGATTTTGGGTGTGTTTCTATGTTT